AAAAATGTAACCCAAACAAATCCCAATAACTCAGTCTCATCCAGTATGTATTTAAGTTCACATTTGACACAATTAAACTTTGTTAAATGTTCTTTTGTTCAATTAATATTCATGAACATTAAACATGACTTTAAATTCATTCTAGATAACTGAGATATTAAGATTTGTTTTGGTTACCTTTATGTGGCTAACAGGGTATATGTTGGGTAGCCAACCAATATCATTTCCAATATGATATAGAAATAAGTGCTAGTTTTTAGTTCCCAAATCACACAAGTGCCAACACCCGTTTTATAGTGTTTAAGACAGAATAAAAGATGTACACCGACCGTAAAGGCCGTTGTGACAATTTGCCAATTGTACTCATCTTTTACTTGATGTGCAGACTAGCTATAATCATAACATTACATACTACCACTGTTTGTACTTGTACATGTATTAAATACAATGTTTTTTTTTATTTTCAGACCATAGTATCCATCTGCCTTGCAGCAGTTCTACCTCCTGCTTTTGATTCTATCAATTGGAATTTCATGTTCAAAACACTAGAAAAATTTAACTTTGGAAACAATTTCAAAAGATGGATAAAAATTTTGTATAATGACCCTGTCATAAAAATAAAAAATAATGGATGGTTTTCTGAAAGCTTTCACATGTATAGGGGAATACGGCAGGGATGTCCAATATCTGCGTTACTATTTATTCTCTGTACAGAAGTAATGGCAGTCTCAATTAAAAATGATGAAAGAATAAATGGTATAGAAATAGAGAATAAAAATATCAAAATTGTACAACATGCAGATGATACAACTTTAATTTTATCAAACAATGACTCCCTAAAGTTTGCATTACAGAAAATAGAAAAATTCTCAAGAGTAAGTGGTCTTAAATTAAACATCAATAAAACTGAAGGATTAAAATTAGGTTCTTATAAAAATTCCAAAGATGATCACATTGAAGAAATACTATTTAGTAGTAAACCCATTAAATGCCTTGGAATATATATTGGGGATAAACAAAAGTGTCAATCTGTAAGCTGGGAATCAAAACTAAGAGATCTTAAAAAATTATTACAAACCTGGAAAACAAGACAATTAACATATTTTGGAAAATCTCAAATCATAAATTCTCTTGCAATATCAAAGCTTGTATACAATTTTACAGTCATGGAAATTGACGAGTCAATTATAAAACAAATAGAAAAAATGTTTTTTGATTTTCTTTGGAATGGTAAGGATAAGGTAAAAAGAAAGTCAGTAATTGGAGCAATAGAAGACGGGGGGTTAAATGTTGTAGATGTTAAACTTAAAATACAAAGCCTGCAGTCTGGGTGGATAAGTAGATTATTAACAAGCAAAACATCATGGAGATTATTTCCATCACACTTAATAAAAAAAACTGGTCTTAAAGTAGAAACACTTTTGAACTGTAATTTTGATAAACAATCAATAAATGATCTGAACATATTTACTCCTTTTTATAAGGAAATACTTTGCTCATTTAACACATGTAAAACTTATGTAAGAAATGACAAAATGAAAAATGACGATATATTCAGGGAAGTGTTATGGTTGAACAAACGATTTTTAAATGGAAGAAGTGTTTTATTTTATAAAAACTGGATTCAGTCTGGTTTTGTTTACGTAGGAGATTTCTTTAATCCAAATGGCTCTTTTAAAAGTAGCCAAACTTTTATTCAAGCATTGCAAAGAAAAAAGAACTGGATGATAGAGTTATATATTATCAAAAGAACTATCATGAGTGTTTGTTCAAATATTGATAAAAATATTTTACCTTTTATCAATATAAGGGATAGAACTAAATTTTTAATAGAAAACCATTTTGTTGATTTAGACGGTAAAAAAGCAAAATTTTTCTACAACATCCTGCGAAATCTAAAATTTGAAAGAAATGTTCAAGAAACTCACTGGAATGCTTGTTTTAATATTATAGAACAACATCTTTGGAAAAATATATATGATCAAAAATTAATAAATATGACCTATACATATTTTTCAGAGTTTAATTTTAAACTTTTAAACAACTTATTGGCATGTGGATCTCTCGTATCAAAATGGAATAACAAAGTCTCGAAGAATTGTTTAATATGTAATAAATTGCACAACATGAAGCACATGATATTTGAATGCCGTAAGGTTAAACCTTTGTGGAATAAAATTGGAAGAGTGTTAAAATGTGATATTCAATATAAACATATTGTAATTGGTTATCCATTCGGAAACACTATAACTAAATATAGAAACATAATTTTAACAATAGCAGGATTGACTATATACAATAACTGGTGTAAATATTCGGAAGAAAAAGAAAACTGGAAAATTTTTGATGTAACAAATGCATTTATCACAAATGCGTTTTATTATTCTCAAATTTTTAATATGACAAAAGATGTAATACTATCAAAATGGATAACCAAATTTGTATTAGAAATGTAATTGACTTTGTATGTATGTATCATTACGTCTCTTTTTGTTCATATTTTATGCATTACATGTTTTGTAATCATTATAAACAATGTATGAATATAACAAAGTAGGAAATAAAAAAAAAAATAAAAATTAAAAAAAAAAAAAAAAAAAAAAAAAAAAAAAAAAAAGTTCTACCTCCTGTTGCTACAAGACACCAGCCAGTGTTGACGGAGAAATTCGTGGAACTTCAATGTTGGATTCCCATTGAGACCTTGATCCTTCCATTGATTTCTAACCTCGTTTTGATCATGTTATGTTCGTATTATGGTTTCAAAACGAGGCTATTACCGGATAATTTTAATGAATCAAAATATATTTTCTTCTCTGTAAGCACGACTCTTTTTCTGTGGATTGCCTTTTTACCAACATATTTCACTGCATCATCTGCATATCACAAAGCCACCCTTCTATCAGCTCTTCTTATACTAAACGCCTCTGTCACTCTTTTGGTGTTATTCCTACCCAAACTTTATGCTATCTACTATATGGATGAGGGTCGTATGAAGTTCACACCTTCGCTAATGACAGTTGCTCATTTTAATCAAACATCACCAGCACAATTATATAATTTATCTGTTCCAATGGACATCTCAAGATCTAACCCAGTGCCTTGATAGAAAAACACTGTAATGATTCATCGTTGTGAAAAATAACCTTGTTGTGAGTACCATATACGAGAAATTGAAGCGGTGTTTAATATTAAAATTAGTATGAATCGATTGATATTTAAAGGACCTCTTAATTGGATGCTCAAAAGTTCACCTTTTGTATAAGGTGTTTTCTCATACGTGTATTTGCGTGCTAATTTTATAGATCATATTGTTTCATTTACAGCGTTTTTTTTATTTGATATGGTAGGCAGTTAGACAGTTTTTTACATAGTTTCTTGAACAAGGTTCGAAAGAATTATCTTAACTTTCTAGGAAGGTAGGCTATCACCCTTAACTGTTGATCAATTTTAGTAGAGAGCTTACAGTGGCAAATCTGCAGATCCAGGGGAATCCAGAATAGGGGGCCCATATGTTGAGTCTGGAAAAAAATTTCGCGCTTGCGCGGCTAAACATTTTGGGCCCCAAAAGCCCAAAATTAAGCCCAAATTTTGAAAAATTGAGGCCCATTTTTCATAAATTGGCCAAGTTATGCCCAAAAAGGCCCATGTTTTGAGGCCCATCAATTCTTGGCCCACTAAAGCCCCCCCCCGGATCCGCCACTAGCTTATGCTGTCCATATTTCTATGGTCTGACTTACGTGTAGCCACACAAAATTTAATGACGTCTTGACACTGAAGCGGAGATCCCATCTCCGATGAAAATGCTTTTTTAGTATGCACATATGAAATATTAACAAAATAGCTCCACTACTTTTACAGATAGCAAAACGTCAAATAACACATATGAAAATGGACGCCATTTTATAAAATGACTGCCTAATAGCCAAATTGTCGTTAGACAGTGCAATTTTTTCTAAATATTCACGTATACAGGGTGGGCCAAAAAACGCCACTTTTTTAAACAAAATCCTATAACTTTTTTAATTTTTGATACAAAATCATAATTCACATACCAAATGAAACTTGAGGTTGTTATCTAGCCATTGATCATGAATTATACACTTTTACTTGAATAAAATATGTCACCAGCGTCTCACTTAAACATGTGGTGTGCCATGAGAAATAAGCATACTTTGCAAAATGTTCCTAAACTGATACGCCCTGATGACCACAAGCTAATAGCCTTTATTTAAACCCAAGTGAGTATAGGGCATGGGGAGGTCTCCAGGAGATGGTATGAAGGCACCCGATCTAAAAAAATTGAAAAAAATATAGCTAACATTTCATTGATACTGCTATATCAGCAAGGCGACTAAAACTAAAATCTATCATCAAATGGGGTGGCGGACCATTTGAACTCCTCTTTTTAGATCAAATATAATCCCAGTTGAAGGACTTGTTACATTATATTATTACTAAGAACCCTTGGCACTATATAACTGCAAAATTTGGGGTATGTAGGTTGGAAAATAAAAAAGTTATAGTGTCTTGAAAAAAGTGGCGTTTTTTTGGCCCACCCTGTATAATCTCAACAAAGTCGCTCCAAAGCGAGCTCTAGTTTGTTCAGCTACTCTGAGTTTATCTCTATATCAATGATTTGGTTGATCATTAACAAATTTAACAAAGACATTACTATATTAATAGTTTTGACCCAAATACGACAAAAAACAACTGGACTACATCATGTCTTCTAAGTCAAGTACAAATACAGAATGAAATAGATTGAAGTGTATACAATGAAATTTCTGATATAGACCCTTATTAATCACCCTTCGACAAATATGTCTGACAACGATTCAACTGCACTGCTAGCACCAAATGAAGGAATAATACAGAAGAAGAGCACAGAAACAGAAATTAAAACATACAAAAGACGCTGGTACATTTTAAAAATATTTTCCCTAGTGATTATGACTCAACCAGCATTATGGTCAACATGGGCTCCTATCAATGACACTGCGAACGTTGTGTTTCAATGGAACAAAACTGATCTTGCACTGATGCTTCTATGGGGACCTCTTGCATTTTTCGTAATGGCGGTTCCTAGTTTCTGGATCCTGCACAAAAAAGGTACTGCTAAAAGGGTCTTGGTCTATACTTTACGAGTCAAGAACACGTAAAATAGAATATAAGACCATACAGATTTTTAGTCTTACTAGTGGATTCAAATTATTGTAAAATATAACCTCCAAGTTACACTGTTTTAGGTCTAGGATGGGGGTGTAAGTTGAGTACTGTAGGTTTGGCCGTTGGAGCTGGTGTCCGATGCTTGGCTATGATACCCCCGAGAAAAACATGGTAAAACAGATTAACCTTTTCACCAATATAAAAGTACATCTACTAAAGAGAAAGACCAAAGAGGATGGCAGAACATAGCATAGACGAAAAACAGTCAGGAAAGCAAAACTACAATATCCCAAACAGTGATCTAAGTACAAAGAAACAATGCATACCACCCCTTCTCTCACAAGGCTGTTTATGTTGATAAATTGAAAGTGCAATGCCACAAAAACATTAAAGTACGAGAATGGGTCGCATGATGTTAAAATCAAGCATCAATTATATCGTAAGCATATTTTGTGTTCTTTTAGGTTAATTCACATGGGGCAATTTATCACTGCATGGGGTGGGCCAATGCTGTTTGCAAGCCCCGTTGTGTTATCTGCCACGTGGTTCCCCGGGGAACAGCAGACGTTGGCCATATCAGTTGGTGTCACTGCTGGTGCTGTGGGTCAAGCTGTATCCTTCATTATAGGTGACCTCCTACAATAGATATCATAATAAATAATAGTGAACAAAATTATTTCAGCATTCTTTACCATTAGTTATGGTAAATGATTTATAGATTCGCCATTTCTAGTTTTATCTAAAAACACTTTAATTTCACTTCTGCATATTGCATGGTTTTACCATCATCCTAAGCAGGTATCCAGAATCCGTACCTCCTTCGTCCATGTCTTCCCCCTGCTATAACCAATTTGGAAGCGCCCGATTAAACTGAATCACGTGATCTTATTATGCGCAATGACTTATACATGATTTCTGTCGCAGTGTTGTGACAGCCAATCAGATTGCGAGTCCTTAATCGGGGAAAGGCTAACTGCTTATCGCATGGGGGTAAAAAGAAAGAATATATTCTGGATTTTGAAGCCCTGTGATCGGAGGATGGGTTTTACTAAACAACTTAGCGTTTATATTTTAGTTATTTTCAGGGCCGGTATTTGTACCCGACTCCGGGAGCTGTCAACAAAATAGGTCCGGGCATAATATATCCGACATAGTGACCGAACATATTCAAACAATCTCTTTGGAGAATAAAAATCACAACTGTTCTGGTGATGCTGCATTCATTAAAGATGCTGGGGATGGAATAACGAAACTTCTGTTAGTAGGTGAGATAGTAAAGGTTAGTCAGGTGAAGGCAAAGTGCCAAATAGAATGTCCACCTGCTAATTACTTTCGTGACATAGATATATAGCTACATGTATTTGTGACATTTCATTAGACCTTTTTCATTATATGGCTTCCTTCCACGCAAACAAATAACTATTGCCACATGGGAGTTACTTAACGATCTGCCATATTCCTTTTCAGAGTTTATTTGGAGTGTGTTGTTACTTCTAGTCACGATGTTGTATTTCCCAGCTCGTCCACCGACACCACCATCTATATCTGCCTCTTTCGAAAGGGAGGATTACCTCAGGGGATTTTTACGAGCGTTAAAGTAGGAAATAGAATCAATATATACACCTAGTAGTTACCCTTATCTTCCGTAATCGGATACAATTTCTAAATGTATTTTAATTAGAAAGTCGTGATGTCTCAGCCTCTTGCGCTTCTTCAAGATACTGTCTGCACAAATCAGAGAAAAAGATTATGGTATCGATTTCGAGACCCTATAAACGTTGTTCGTGAAGTATTATATAATTAGAAGGTTGGGAATTATGATTTATCATCGACAGACTGGTCTCTTCTTATTACACTGACATTGAGCATCAAGTATACGCCTAATGTCAGCGTGTTTTAATCACACTATAGCGCACACTTTAGCGCAGCAACATTTGAAGCAATATTTATGGAGGTGTATTCTTTTATAATACCATTAGCTGAAAATACTTCCGGCTTTTTGGGTCGAAAAATGTCTTTCATCACAAGGGGTCAAAAAACGTAAATATTTTTATTCGAACTTTTATACATTTTATAAGACACAGACCGTTATTCTAAGCATACGAACAAAATAGATTATATGTATAATAATGTAAAAATATACTATAGTTTTACTGTAGATGTCGGTGTTTAATCAGTGTTATAATAACGCAAGTGTGTTTTTCAGATTTTGTTTGATTTTTCAAATATGAGCCAAGCAGATTCAACAAAACTGTGTGGAATAACTAGGTAATTTATGATTTGGAACATCTTAGTTTTCTTACCATTTAAAACATTTTATTACCAGAATTTTTCCATCGCAAGGGGTCAAACAACAAATTATTGTTCATGTTTTATAAAACATAATACAACAAGGCATTAACATGACAAAATGTCACCACCTAAAACAATTTGGTCAATTTAAAGCAAGTTGGAAAATACCTTTTGACCTTAAGAAGGTTTGATTTGAACTTCTTAGAACATGTAGATGATTTTGAAAAAAAAATTCGTCAATTTGAAGCAAGTTGAAAAAATACCTCTTTGACTTTTTTTGACATTGAGAAGGTCATTGAAGGTAAAATGTCAAATGTAAAGTCAGATTTGAACTTCTGAGAACATGTAGATGATTTTGAAAAAAAAATTAAGTAAATTTGAAGCAAGTTGAAAAAAGACCTTTTTGACCTTGAAAAGGTCATTGAAGGTCAAATGTCAAATCTAAAGTCAGATTTGAACTTCTGAGAACATGTAGATGATTTTGAAAAAAAAATTAGTCAATTTGAAGCAAGTTAAAAATACCTTTTTGACCTTGAGAAGGTCATTGAAGGTCAAAGGTCAAATCTAAAGTCAGATTTGAACTTCTGAGAACTTGTCAAAGTCAAATTTGAACTTCTGAAAAGATGTAGATGATTTTGAAAAAAAAAATTGGTCAATTTGAAGCAAGTTGAAAACAGACCTTTTTGACCTTTTTTTGACCTTGAGAAGGTCATTAAAGGTCAAATGTCAAATCTAAAGTCAGATTTGAATTTCTGAGAACATGTAGATGATTTTGAAAAAAAAAATTAGTCAATTTGAAGCAAGTTGAAAAAAGACCTTTTTGACCTTTTTTGACCTTGAGAAGGACATTGAAGGTCAAATGTCAAATCTAAAGTCAAATCTAAAGTCATATTTGAATTTCTGAGAACATGTAGATGATTTTGAAAATTTTTTTTAGTCAATTTGAAGCAAGATGAAAAAAGACCTTTTTTGACCTTTTTTGACATTGAGAAGGTCATTGAAGGTCAAATGTCAAATCTAAAGTCAGATTTGAATTTCTGAGAACATCTAGATGATTTTGAAAAAAAAATTAAGTCAATTTGAAGCAAGTTGAAAAAAGACCTTTTTGACCTTTTTAGCTCACATGGTGAGCTATTGCAATCACTCACTTGTCCGTCTGTCTGTCCGTCCGTCCGTCTGTCTGTCCGTCTGTCTGTCCGTCCGTCAACAATAGTGGCACGTTTTAAAACCTCTGTCGATAGGATTCCTGTTTTAAGTTATTTCTGTTCAACATCAATACAAAAAACCCCCCTATGACTCCTGGTTCAAAAGCTCGCCTATTTTCAAAATGGCCGTCACTTTTGTCTCGCGAAATTCACTTTTAGCCCATTTCCTAGCTAACCTCTGTCGATAGGATTCCTGTTTTAAGTTATTTCTGTTCAACATCAATACAGAAAACCCCCCTATGACTCCTGGTTCAAAAGCTCGCCTATTTTCAAAATGGCCGTCACTTTTGTTTCGCGAAATTCACTTTTGGCCCATTTCCTAGCTTTACAAATAATTTCAGGTGTCCTACATTGTAAAAATCCATGTCAATGTAAAGATTAGATATATGAAATAATTTTGTTACAAAAAATCAGCGAAAAATTGTATCCATTTTTTTATTTTCAGCCATTTTAGTAAACATTGATTTGTCTATCTGACTCGCGAAATCCACTTTCTGTCAATAACAGTGGCACGTTTTAAAACCTCTGTCGATAGGATTCCTGTTTTAAGTTATTTCTGTTCAATATGAATTCAGAAAACTCCCCTATGACTCCTGGTTCAAAAGCTCGCCTATTTTCAAAATGGCCGCCATTTTTGTCTCGCGAAATTCACTTTTGACCCATTTCCTAGCTTTACAAATAATTTCAAGTGTCCTACATTGTAGAAATCCATTGCAAAGTAAAGAGTAGATGTATGAAATAATTTTGTTACGAAAAATCAGCGAAAAATTATATCCATCTATTTATTTTCAGCCATTTTAGTTAACATTGATTTGTCTATCTGTCTCGCAAAATTCACTTTTGGACCATTTACCTTAAACCCTCTGTCGATAGGATTCCCATTTTAAGTTAAATTTGTTCAACATCAATACAAAAAACTCTCCTATGACTCTTGGTTCAAAAGCTCGGCTATTTTCAAAATGGCCGTCACTTTTGTCTCGCGAAATTCACTTTTGAGCCATTTCCTAACTTTACAAATAATTTCAGGTGTCCTACATTGTAAAAATCCATGTCAATGTAAAGGGTAGATAAATGAAATAATTTTGTTACAAAAAATCAGCGAAAAATTGTAACCATTTTTTTATTTTCATCCATTTTAGTTAACATTGATTTGTCTATCTGACTCGCGAAATCCACTTTCTGTGGCACGTTTTAAAAACTCTGTCGATAGGATTCCTGTTTTAAGTTATTTCTGTTCAACATCAATTCAGAAAACTCCCCTATGACTCCTGGTTCAAAAGCTTGCCTATTTTCAAAATGGCCGCCATTTTTGTCTCGCGAAATTCACTTTTGACCCATTTCCTAGCTTTACAAATAATTTCAAGTGTCCTACATTGTAAAAATCCATGTCAATGTAAAGAGTAGATGTATGAAATAATTTTGTTACGAAAAATCAGCGAAAAATTATATCCATTTATTTATTTTCCCATTTTTGCCCATTTCCTAGCTTTACAAATAATTTCAGCTGTCCTGCATTGTAAAAAGCCATGTCACTGTAAAAGGTAGTTGTATGAAATAATTTTGTTACAAAAAATCGGCAAAATATTATATCTGTTTTTTTTTATTTTCAGCCATTTTAGTTAACATTGATTTGTCCATCTGTCTCGCGAAATCCTCTTTTGGACCATTTGCTTAAAACCTCTGTCGATAGGATTCCAGTTTCAAGTTATTTTTGTTCAACATCAATACAAAAAACTCCCCTATGACTCCTGGTTCAAAAGCTTGCCTGATTTCAAAATGGTCGCCATTTTTGTCTCGCGAAATTCAATTTTGGCCCATTTCCTAGCTTTACAAATAATTTCAGGTGTCTTGGATTGCAAAAAGCCATGTCACTGTAAAGAGTAGTTGTATGTTGTTCAAATTATTGGCAAAAAATTATATCCGTTTTTTTTCAGCCATTTTAATTGACTGAGAGACAGATGGCTTGAAATAATTTTGTAACAAAAAATCAGCAAAAAATTATATCCGTTTTTTTTCTGTCACCATGTGAGCCCAGTACCCACGGTACTAATTTTATTTGACTTTGAGAAGGTCATTGAAGGTCAAATGTCAAATCTTAAGTCAAATCTAAAGTCAGATTTGAATTTCTGAGAACACGTAGATGATTTTTAAAATTTTTTTTAGTCAATTTGAAGCAAGTTGAAAACAGACCTTTTTGACCTTTTTTTACCTTGAGAAGGTCATTGAAGGTCAAATGTCAAATCTAAAGTCAGATTTGAATTTCTGAGAACATGTAGATGATTTTGAAAAAAAAAATTAGTCAATTTGAAGCAAGTTGAAAAAAGACCTTTTTGACCTTTTTTGACTTTGAGAAGGTCATTGAAGGTCAAATGTCAAATCTTAAGTCAAATCTAAAGTCAGATTTGAATTTCTGAGAACACATAGATGATTTTGAAAAAAAAATTTAGTCAATTTGAAGCAAGTTGAAAACAGACCTTTTTGACCTTTTTTGACCTTGAGAAGGTCATTGAAGGTCAAATGTCAAATCTAAAGTCAGATTTGAAGGTCAAATGTCAAATCTAAAGTCAAATCTAAAGTCAGATTTGAATTTCTGAGAACATGTAGATGATTTTGAAAAACAATTTAGTCAATGTGAAGCAAGTTGAAAAAAGACCTTTTTGACCTTGAGAAGGTCATTGAAGGTCAAATGTCAAATCTAAAGTCAGATTTGAACTTCTGAGAACATGTAGATGATTTAGAAAAAAATTGAAGTAAGTCTAAACAGTATTTGTTAAGTTATAGGAAGTTGTAAGAAATTGTTACAGACGCCGGACGCCAACCTCCAACCGCCGGACGCCGGACGCCAACCACCAACCGCCGTCGCAAAAAAACGGAGACCATAACAATATGTCACCACTTTTGGTGGTGACATAATAAATAGGTAAGATTTATATCTAACTAAATGTTACAGAGGTATTGGAATGCTCATATATTCCAAGGGCATGTCTAATAAATCAATTAGAGTCAAATGCAATCGAACGCCTTACAATTCTTCCTCGGCGCTACTGCTGGCTATCATCAAGTTTTCTGATGGTTGTTTCTTTTTTGGACCTTACCGCTGGACATAATTAAATTTTAGGAAGATAATGATAACGATTTTCTCAATTATTCATGAATTCGACCAAGTCTTGATGGTTGTTTTATAAGCAGCTGAGCTATATCTAACTACGAGAAATAGAATTTTAGCTGTAGTCCCAATTAGTCAAGGAAGAGCAATATGCCCGCCTTTATTGATAATGTTCATAACGGAATAAAAGTCAATATCCAAAAACGTATTGAGACCCATTTTTGAAAAACTAGCATAATCTAAGTATTTTTCATTCTAATATAAAAGTGATTCATTTGTATTATTTATCTTATTAATATCTGAGAAAGAATACAACACGTCGATACACTGATTACATACTTTTTTGTTATGATAAGAAAAATAACCTCAAACTTATAGCTTAGAAACTTAAATCATATATTTAAAATCATTTTGTATTATTTTCTGTTGTATTGTGTACCCCAAATTGTGACAAATTGGGATTTTTGGTTATTCTTTAAACTCTGTTAATGGCAGGCATAATTCAGCCTAAAATCCGGAAGTATATTAAACGGTTATAATAAAATTTATTAGGGAACATATGAAGGTATGTTAATGCTGAGGCTGTTAGTCTCAGGTTAATGTTAGGTCAAATATCGCTGCGCTTTAGTGTGCTACCAGCTCCTTTATTAGACATCCTAGAGATTTCATTCCATTGACTAATCCATCGATCCTGTAACTCAATTCATTATATCGCCAAAGGTGGTATTCGTTGCCATTTTTATTTCAGATCACCAAAAGTATATTTAATAGGTTTTATCTATGCTCTGCCGGCGGCAGTGTTTTCAATGTGGGCAAACTTTATTGATGTATTCCTGTTGCCAATCGGGATTCAACAGGTTGGTAAATATAATGTATCTAGACTGAGTTGAGTATCAGAAACAAGATATATAGAGAGCTTGATATAGAGAGCAAGATATATACAGAGCTGATAGTGTGGGGGGGAGGTGGAATGTAGTATTTTTTGTCTGTTATGCATTATGCAGGCCTTGTGTGTCTTATCTTAGCAGAGCAATCCTTAAAAGTTTCCGAAAAATCAGGAGATTTCCCGAATCTGAACCAAGTCATTGGACCAAATGTGCCAGTGGCATCGCTCATATTTGGGAAATCTCCCCTGCATTTTAAGCAAATTTTGCTTCATGCTTCAAGTTAAACAGAAAGATGCTATGAGTATCAGAATGATCAGAACCTAATATGAAGTGTACGACAAAAGGATCCAGAAAGCTAAGAATGCAGATGTACGTATGGACATGTACATACTGTATATGGTTTCATTTGATTTCAGGATGATGCAGGGTGGATTGGATTCTGGGGGATTTTTTCAGCGGGGATATCTTGCATTATAGTGGGAGGGTAAGTGAATGACGTTAATTATATGGGCTAGGTAAGATTCTTGGAATTATCTATCTCCACCGAGAGCATTATAGAAAAAACAATTATGATTTCTCGCTATGTCTCATGTCTATGAAAACACAATGTTCTCAATCGTGTAATTGATTCCAGCTTTATAGATCACTTCAAGGCCTGGCTGAAATCTTCAATTCTGGTACTTTATTGTATTTCCATTGGTTCAGCAGTATGGTTTTTGTTACTCTGTATGAAGATAATACCATTTTCTTTAGGTGAGTATAATACATAAAATCTGGCAAGTGTCAACAGACTAATAGTGATTTACGGCATTAAATATTCAAATTTGTCCTATTTGAAATCTACATGTAAATATACATCTAGAAATATGGTTTCAAAAATTGTTTACTTACTTTGAAAATTCTAATTGAAAGCCCATGTAACTACCTACTCGCATCTGCGTTATTTAACTTTGTATCCCTATTGAGAGTATTCGGTTTGTGTTTTTGTCACGAATAAATAGTTAATAAATAAATAGTCTGAAAATACAATTATCAATTTCTAAATGATTAATCGTTTTGTGATTAGAATACAAAATTGAACTACCCATTGGCTCAGTCAGGTACATGTAGAAAGATACTTAAGTATATAAGAAAACAGTTTATGTTGAATTATTTTCTCTTTTTAGAATAATATGCTATTATAAACAGGTTAAATGTTTTTCCCGTATACATCAATACAATTTAAGCTGTAATTGAAGGAGATACTTAATTACCAAATCCTTTTATTTTGCCAAATAACCGATAATCATACCTGTTATTTTCTTAATTTTTCCCAGTGAAACCCTTTAAGGGTGATACTGCTCCGTAATTTATGCCCCAGACCCATTTGCTCTCAGCGACCGTAGATTCCCGAAATTAAGAAATACCTACATGTCGTAGCGTCAAACTCGCCCACTAATCGCCCTACTGTTGACGTCCCCCTGCGGCCACCTTGCCTCTGCATTGGTTATGGTATACGTGCATACATTATGTATTTACAGGTATGGTATATGCATCTTTCATTCTCACTAGTGCAATGATGAATTCCCCCCAGGCGTTGATGTTTGAGCTGATATGCCAAGTATGCTACCCCATCGGCGAGGCGACGGCTTCTGGGATACTCTGTATCATATTTAACTTTGTGGCAATAATATTTCTCATCCTAGCATCCATAGAAATCTTAGGTAGATAGCTTAGCTCCCTAGCTTATAAGGTCCAATTTTCACAGTTGACTGGGTTCTTAGGTCATCAAAGGACCAATTATTTGTTTGGGTTCTTAGCTCAGTGGAGGTCAATTTGTTTTGTGTCTGTTTTTGTACAAGCTTTGACAGACAATACTGCTCAATCAGTCCAGTTGGGGGGGGGGTCGATAATATTCCTATTGTTGATATTTAATTCATTGGTAATGGTACAAGTTTATATGATTTTATTATTGGAATTTCATTTTTTCAATTTTAGGTACAGCATGGTTAAACTGGAGTTTATTGGTGAGCGTGGGTGTTTGTGTCCCTCCTCTCGCCCTCGTTTCTGTCAACTTTAAAAGATTAGAAGTAGATAAACATGGTGACAAATCTGAATGACTTTTTATCATAAAAAAATATTAGACATATTTTAATTTGATTTAATGATTTAACCCCATGGTTTAATGGATTGTGGACGATTTTAAGCTCACAATTTTATTAAGTCTTGCTTTTCAATCATTTTCATACATAGCAAAATATGTTGTACAATTCCTCTAACAATATTAAAATTCAAAATAATATTTTAAAGGTTTTAGAAAGGTCAACATTTTGACCTACGTAGGCACAACGATTTCCCCTTTCCATTTTCTTGACCAACCATTCATCTGTTGAGAAATATAGAATAAGAATGACCATTTTATACGAATACTGTGTTCTGATTGGCTTGAATGAGATACATCATGACTAGCCATGTTAGAAATGATGGCAATAATAAGCATCCTTTATGTTCAAATTTACGATCTTGAATTTATATGCTGTTATTATTGACTCCAAGAGGTCTCTTATTAAAAGTGCTTGAAAAGGTTGGCCAAAATATTGTCAAAATTAAGGATCCCTAGTCTCTTGACACAATACCCTCAACATATTGTTATAGAAACGGGACTGTATGATAAGTACGTAATTGGTTGCATTGTAATATATATTTATTGATTGTAATAGATTATAATGCAAATTTGTTGTATTTATTGCATTTTGATATTGGATGTGCATTTTATTACTGTATATCGTGCTTTACTGCTGTCCATCAATTCTTTTAAAGGGAGTGAAAATAAGTGAATAAACAAAAATATGCCGAGATGGCTGATGAAAAATAGAAATATCACTTTCTGTTGTCTTTAAGTACTGATTTATAAAGCGAAATGAGATACATGTACCCTCTGGTCCAAAAATATCTGTGCGTCGTCATGCACTGCTCATAACTTTTGTTTATGGAAACCATACATTTTCATACTTTCAGGGTTGGATGCCCTATATGTAAGATTTGTGTGAATTTGGATAAAATATATGGAATATACATGTAGAAAAAATTAGAGATCAGTAATCAGAGTGACCGCACACATCACTGAGCTGTGACTACTTTTTTGGAACTTATCCTCATTTTTGCTAATCCAATGGATCATTTTCTCATCTCACTTAATACATCAAACATCAATTAGACTTACTAATCCAAATTATTGTTACAAGTATTAGGCATTTGCCAAAATACCAAAATTGACAATTAGTAGTATTTTCACCCTTATTGTTTCAACCAGAGTCTTTTCAAGTTGTGAACCACTATCAACTTAGGACGTCCACACATTACCAGATGTAGCTTTGGCATAAAGAATTACTGACATACTAGTATCCCCACTAATTCCATACACCTTAGCTAGATCAGAAACTGAACGCTTGGACACTTTATTTATATCTCCATATTTTATGTATAAATATGAAATGTGAATGTCAATACAAAGAACAAGTGAAACTATTTAGCGAATATAAATTGTATAGATTATTACATTTGATAAAATAAAAAACATTCGATAGATTGGGTAAAGGTTTGGTAAATTGTTTGTTTTATTTGGTATTTACCGAATAAAGAAGCAGTTTAAACACCATAGGTACGGTGTCCTTATACAGATAGTGTGAAGCAGAAATGTCTAATAGCATTTTGAGTAACAAGGAAAAAACCTGAAGTGTCGAAGAAAATTTTTGCCATGTTTCAGTGGAGTTTATATAATTGTGGTTTGGCCACATCCTGATAAAATAGTGACCGTGCCTCAGAAATTCTAAAACGTCAATCGTTTGAGCGGCGTTTGAGTCACTAAAAGCCCGGTATACACCAATGGGGCAAAATCCCACTTGCCCCATCGAGTCCCATCTTGCCCCATCGAATCCCAATTTGCCCCATCGAATCCCACGAAGTCCCATGGGACCTTGATGACTTTGCTCCATCGTGCCCCATGGAGTCCCATCAAGCCCCATGGAGGCTATGGCGGATCCGGGGGGGGGGGGCATGGGGCCCGCCTCCCCCCTAAGGTTGGCCCAGAAAAAAAAAGTTGGGCCCAAAAATATTTTAGGCCAAAAAAGCCCTTAAGGCCCCAAAAAGTGGGCCTTTTGGTCACTATTGGGCCTTCTAAGGCCTTATTTTTTTAATTTTAGGCCAAATTTTGAAGAAAATGGGCCTCAAATTTTCAAAACAAAATTTTTTACGCGCAAGAGCGGAGGTTTTTTCTCTGACCTCAAATTTGGGCCCCCCCCCCCTTTTGGTTCCTGGATCCGCCACTGTGGAGTCCCATCAAATCCCACCGTGCCCCATTGGTGTATGCCGGGCTTCACACAACACGTTATATGGTCGAAAATCCCACGATGCCCCATGGAAAGAATGAACATGTTCATTCTCGATGGGACTCCATGGGACTTCGTGGGATTTTGCCCCATCGAGTCCCACCGAGTCCCACGTGGGACTTCATGGGACCTCATGGGAGTCGATGGGGCTCGATGGGGCAAAATCCCACGGAGTCCCATGGAGTCCCACGGACTTCATGGGGCAAAATCCAAAAAAGGTCCCACGCAATGTTAAGTCTATGGAGGTCCCAACTTGCCCCATTGGTTACATACCGGGCTTAACATTAATGTTGATCGACTATTCTAAAACAGCCTCGTTATCGATTTGATGTTACGATCGAAGATGACAGCAAAAGAGAAACTTACGTATTTGCACAATCCCATGTCATTCTATTCTCAAAAGGTACGATCATTTCGCATTAAGTACGTACATGGACTAATTTACGTGTAAGAATGTTACTTTTGTGTGTGATATAATGGGTAAAAAGCCTACGGAAAGGTGACCAATCACTTCCGGGTTTATGAATTCTCTTACTAATTTCTGTCTTTTTGGGTTAAGACTTCGTCAATTGTAGACATGATTTTATTGTCAACCAAAGTTCCAAAGTTTAAGGACGGTCCTAAATCAAGAAGGGTTTGGGCGTGGTGCAGTGTGGTATAATGATGGGCTTTTGAAAACCCATGTAAAAATTAGGCCCACAAATCACAGAGAACTGTGATGTACTTGTCTACTATAGTACATGTAGTAATCAGTAAAAGATTGTAACATGTAACCTGATGATGATTTAACCTGGTTTAAATAGTTTGCCATGCCAGCAGAAAGCCCATTGTGGGGTTCGTAGAAAAAAACGGATACTGGGTAGTAAATCCTCCATCGCTGGGCTCAAACTTGGTACCCGGTACCCAGTCGAAAAATCTGGGTACCCAAAAAAACGTAAAATACGAATATATAACATATATCATTAGAAAACGTGTAAGATTGGTTTTGAAGTTACTGAAATGTATGTAACGTCAGGATATGATAAATAAACTACATGTACATGTAGATATTTGATGTTTTATTGACAAACTTTATTTTCACATTTATGGAGTAGGAAGTAGGTGGCGTAGTGCACAGAGCACTGACACCTATTGGCAGACATAAACATGAGAACACAATATTATCAAAGTGGTTGTGCTAACTTATTTCTATGAACATAACATATACTTTACACACATTTTTATAATATCCAACAAAAGGAAGACATCAACTTCATTTCAGTCGTCCAGTTTTTTTATTCTATTGGTTGTACAAAACACAATTTACATATCTAGCGCTTTAAATACAGTATACATGTATGATATGTATTATTTATACTAAATAGGGATCACTAGCACTGAAACAAAAGAACATCCCATACACGGAACAAATTATTGACTTACACGGAGGAGAAACTCATTCTCCAGGGTACGTAGAAAACATCAATCCTCAAGGAGCAGTTCCGGTCCTAAAAATAGAGAAAGATGGACATGTACGTTACATCCCAGACTCTGAAGAGATTATTAAATACCTAGAGGAAAACTATCCTGATAATGGTGAGTCTGTTTTTGTAGGTATCTTTAAGTCTGTACATGTACAGGGTGTCCAAGAAGTAACGTCAATGACCCTGGCATTTTGTCATTTATGCTTCAAATGTCATGAAACTTGGTCAGAATGTTCCTTGTACACTTATAAATATAAATATGAAGTATGGAGTTACTAGCACTTGATTGGCCGGTTTTATGGTTACCATAGTAACACAATTGCATGGACCCCGGGGCAGCTCTGCAATCCGTAAGATCTTTGGAAAATAAAATAACCATAAACACTAGTTTTGAAGTGTACATCTTTTTTTATAATATGACCACAAATATAATGTTTTCAACTACACATCATTTATTCATAATATAGCTGTTGCTGGCGTTATATTAGTGTTATATTAAAGTTTATTGAATGTTACTCTACATAATCACCACCAAGTTCCACACATCTCTGGTGTCTTCTTACCCACTCCAAGAAAACTCTATTGAAACCACCAGAGCTCATTTCTGCAAGGGATGAAAGAAAAGAGCTTTTAAGTTCCTCATTTGAAGAGAAAGACTGTCCAGCAAGTTTAGCCTTCAGTGCACCATAAAGATAGAAGTCACTAGGGGCCAAATCAGGTGAATATGGAGCTTGTTCAAGTAGGGGTATTCCTAGTATCTCAATTACTTCCATGGTGATCCTGGCCTTGTGAACGGGGGCATTGTCCCAGTGCAGTGAAAGGCGCAATCCAGGTCATGATGTCATAAAGCACTCCAAAGAAGTGTTACCATGGTAACTCCCAATAAACAATAAAACCATTAAGATTTGAAAAAGTCCCAAGACATTGCATTTCATTTTTGCCAAAGGTTCTACCTTATAATAACCTGATTTACATAATATTTACCAGGTATATTCTGAACTGCCCCGGGGTTCATGCGATTATGTTACTATGGCAACCATAAAATCTGCCAATCAAATGCCAGTCACTCCATACTTCGTATTTATATGTATAAATGTACAAGGAACATTCTGACCAAGTTTCATGTCATTTGAAGCATAAATGACAAAATGTCAGGGTCATTGACGTTACTTCTTGGACACCCTGTATATTATGTACAATATTCTGCATTCATGTATTACATTCTGTATCTTTGGATGTCTTTTAGTGTAGTCAGAAACTAAAAAATAGGCAAGTCATGTAAATAGGTGAGGTAGTTTGGTATACTTTACTACCATGGAATATATTACTTGCATAGTAAATACCATTTCTTTTAAAATCTTGAAATGAAAATAAAATGATAATTGTATATTAATTATTCAATTAGGTCCTCAATGACATTTGAGGAGCAAAGAATATAGGAAATTGATTCTGTATATTCTGAACATTGATTTTTATTTCACCATCAAAAAGTGGTGACATATCAGCATATTGTTGTAGCGTTCATAGGTTCGTATTTGGCTACTTAAGTAAGTGTGACTAATTTCTACATTCATTACATTGAATAGGCCTACTACATTGTTATGGTCTCGGTTTTTTTTAGATTTGAGATTTGACCTTCAAAAAAGGTCAAAAGGTATTTTTCAACTTGTTTCAAATTGACCAATCTTCTTTTCAAAATCATCTACAAGTTCTCAACAGTTCAAATCTGACTAAAGATTTGACCTTCAATGACATTCTCAAGGTCAAAAAGGTCATTTTTTATCTTGCTTCAAATTGACCAATTTTTTTCAACCATCATCTACAAGTTCTCAGAAGTTCAAATCTGACTTGAGATTTGAGATTCCACCTTCAATGACCTCAGGGCAAAAAAGGTCTTTTTCAACTTGCTTGCCAATTTGTTTTTTCAAAATCATCTACAAGTTCTAAGAAATTCAAATCTGACTAAGATTGAACTCATAATATTGTGAGCAACAAGATGGTGATATTTTGTCATGTTAATGCCTCGTTATTAAATGGTGTCAAATGTGTGTTTTAGGGCCAAAGCTCATTCCTGCTCAGGGATCAAAAGAGAGACAACAGGTTGATGAATTTATGGCCTTGTTCAACCCTCTGCGTGTTGATCTTATTACATATGGATGTATCCTCAATCCTGAACTGACTGATGGCATGGTGTTCCCAAATCTAATGAGACAGCGTGCCATGAGTAAGTATGAGATTTATTGTGTGGCTGAAATTCCAGGATTCTCATTTGCTAATGTGATACCATGTGATCAAAACACCACCTCCGTCATTTTTAAATTGACATAAAATATTCGCTGCACATGGATTCTGATCATAAACAAATGTCTAAAATAAAACTTTTTTTCTATGTTCATGCAATACCTGTTGCACCTTCAGTGATTTTTGCAGTACATATACATGTATACTGTATATCCCATATTACAGTTGTAACCAAGATAGAGCTGAGCTAGAAGGCTCTGATTGAAGGAACCCCTTGAAATTTTATTAATGCACAATTTATGTAAACAAGTAAACAAAGTTTTTGTAAAGTTGTAAACTGCTCAGTTACTTACTGACCCATTCCTATGATGCCATAGGAAAACTACTATATCAATGAGCTACATGTACACCACTGACATGGAAGAAAAATTAAGCAAAAATTCGTAAACACATTATAATTATTATTTAAGCCATGCTAGTAACAAATGCTGAACGACTAGAAGTTTTAAAAAGAGAAAATCCAAAATTGAAGGATGTTTATCAATCCAAAATAGATGGATGGGTTGACAGAAAGAAAACAATGACAGATATTCGTGCTGTTGCTGAGATAATTGACAATGAATTGGCTCCACTTATGGGCAAGATTGAAACCACACTTGCACAGAGATATGAAGGTATAATTACCTGTATTATATATAAAAACTACATTTTCAAAAGATGGAGTAGCAGGTATCACTTTTTAAAAAAAAAATTTCAAATGATGGATTAGCAGGGGGACATGTAATTTTTTCACATATGTCTGCAAATGTCTTTCTGTTTACAGCCATTTTTTTAAATTTTATTGATGTAAGCTATTAATCAAAACTAAGAGGTCAATGTGATTTGCTGATCCTCAATCCTTGTTAGAGATGATAACCCTCCAAAATAAAATCAACTGCGTTGAAAATGTAAAAAAGCAAATGTGAATAAAATATTACAAACAGGCATTGAAGAAATACTGTATACACTTTTCTGCAAATGTTACCCATTGGCTGGCATGTTGATGTTTAAAGTTTTATATTTCTGGTGAATTCATTGTAAATCTGTGTTATTTAGATCCAAACATAAACAGACACTATCCAATGTGAACTTACAGTTGCATAATTAAGGAAGGGGGTGCAATACAATATGTTAATCACCAAAAAATAATGTACTCAAACCATGAATTAATTTCCAGCGTCTGGTGTGAATGGTACCTGGCTCTGTTCAGACACATATACAGCCGCAGACAACTACTTAGCAGTCCTTCTCCAGCGTCTACACTTTATAGGACTCTCTAAGCGGTTTATTGAGTCAAATATCTACATCAATCGATATTATAAACAATTGAAGCAAAACAAAAACTTTTATGATGTATGTATTAGAATCGCCATACAGATGCATGTAGTGCAGAAGTTACAGGCTTTAAAGCCTTATGTAGCAGGCCTTGCAGCTGCTTCAGTGGTTGCTGGATTAGGCTACTTTCTTTACAAGAAATACATCAAATAGACTTACCAGACAATCGACATTTCCATAAGAAATGCATGCAATCATAGCTGGTGTATTATGTAGTAGAGTATAATAAGGTGACAACAGGCCTGTAGTCCAGATTTGCCACGGGGGTTCAGTTTTCAAAAATTTCCAGGGGGGTTCACATTTGACAATTTTGGCCCAAATATGGCTAAAATCACTTGAGAAGTGCTCAAAATGGTGAAAAACTGCATGATTTTGAAATTTGGCCGGGGGAGGGGGGTTCGCCCGAACCCTGCCAACCCCCTCTGGCTATGGGCCTGGACAATGAAACTCAGGATTCATAATTGTTATATGGAAATTTAAAGGTGCAACAAATGATACAGACCAATTGAGGATAACTTAGAATAAATTGTAAAAGTTTTCAACATTGGTGGTTCACAGTATTCCTTGTAATGCCTATTTTTCTACATTACCATCATGTTTAAGGCCCGTTTAAGGGAATCATAAGGGACATGTAATGTTTTACATTTAACAGTGTTCTTTACACTATCCTCGTTGCCTCCTTTAAAGATAATTTGATAATCATTAATGTCAGGGTAATTCTTGACAACAATTTAAATAGGAATATAGTAGTAAGTTTTAGGTACCATTCACGATTTCAACTGATGGCCAACGGTTTAGCCTACTTTTTATGGCCAACTCATTTACTATATGAATGGAATGGTTGCAGGTATTTTTCATATTTAAACATGTTAAATGAGTTGACCAAAAAATAGTAGAATAATCCATCAGGCGGCATTTGAATTCGCGGATGCTACCATACAAGTACATGTAGATATAATGAACTGTCAACGCACAACATACGAAACAGTATTCCCACTACAACTAGACAGCCAATTCTGTGCCATTATTGCTAAATTTTACAAATATTACTGAGAATATATATATGAATAATTGCCATGTGTACTAAAATGATAAGAATTGTGACTTTAAACCTAATGTTTAACATCTGAGATAAAGATTTATAGATGTGTAACTATGTATAGCAGTATATTTATAGACAGCTTGGCTAAGATTAAAATGGTATAAATGCAAATTAGACTAGAAGAAGCAATATTTTTTCTTATTTTTGAGTAGAATACACTTATACACCCTAATCAAGTTTTATTTTTGTAGTGTATTTATGTTGACTGTATTCTATTGGAATATAATGTTTCACCAATTTGCTCATGCTGCACGCAAACATTATTTATATTTTGCTTGTATGTTTACAATCGCAGGACGACAACAGTGTAATTGGTAAAAACTGAATATGTTTTTCAATAAAACACATTAAAGACTAATTTTATTAAAACGTATTTCCTTTTTTGTATGAGCCAACATGCATCTCAGATGCTATGCAGCATCTATTAACATATAATGCAATATTGTATGATCTGCAAAGTAAGCCCTCAGATTGGTTAGTTCTTGGGCTGTACCATTCTGTAATGCTACCTAGATTGTCCCCATTCATCATCTCTGTAGCGATACAGAAAATATTAATACGGACGGGACAATCTCAGTACAATACAGAGAATACAAAATATTTCCTAGGGATTATCTCCTAAGTAAAAGTGTAATACAGGGTATATCTTGCTCTCGATATTCTGTATTGGCACTCGACTTCGTCTTGTGCCAGTACAGAATTTCTGGAGCAGAATATAACCTGTATTGCACTCACTTCAATTCATATTACTGCTACATGTACCTCATAGTCGTATTGTTCATGAAACAGAAGCAACTTGCAATTGAGAAATATTCCTTCATCGTATTCGGCATTCGACCATTGTCAATTTTGTATGACATACATGTACATGTAGAACCTCCATATAATGTTTGGACGCCACGATTCAACGATACTGTATATTCAACAAATACAGAATTCGGTCTTGTGAATTGGGTGATGGCGAACCCGACCATGGACCTCTACATCTGTAGGTTCCATGAAAATACGAAGATTTCACGTTGCCGTACAAGGTACCTTAACGGTTGAAGATATATTAAATTGGATCATGGGCTCCTCACGATGGGATATAGGAATAACTCATTTGAATGTTGGAGAGTTCCTATGTTATACAAGCTTGATTTAAATCAATTAAAAACATCAAAATATACATTTACCGTCTGCTATTTTAAAGAGAATTCGGTGTAGTGCCCATCATCTTTTTACATGAGAGATATAGTTTCACAATTTCTCTGTCTAAAATATAGAACTTTATATTTGAAGTAGATCAGGCTTATATGACATGGAAACTCTGGAGTATGATCATTTGTAAATGTAGGTACCACAATTCAACGATAAGAATTGGTATCGATATGGCGAACAGAATTGAACACATGTTTCTCTTAAACCAGTCATAAAAGATTCTGAAAATTTTACACATCGTCAATTTAATGATCATCCTTTGAACGGTAACAATTTAATTTGAAAAATATAGCATTTCACTATATTGTTTTAAAAAACAAACCATGAGACATTCGGAAATGAGACATCTATCCCAACCTCATTGAAACAAAATGACATATACACCACATGTTTAGGTCTCTCAATATTGTAATTGTAATACGAAGGAAAGTTTGGCTCATTTAAAAAATCTCATTGATGAAATAAAAGGTTTACTTTAATTTTTTTATCTATTTTTGGGGGTTTTGTTTTAATATTTTGAATCCTTTTTATTAAATGAACCAAACCTTCATTTGTACAACTACAATATTGAGAGACCCAAACACATTTTGTTCCGATGAGGTAGGGATAGATATGTTTCATTCCATTCTCAAGAATGTGTAGAAAGGAACAAAAAACAGTTACACACACAAAAAACAAAACAATGTTAACTAAAACAGTCAATCGGTGACCATTGTTACGCGGTAAACACGATACAAAAATATGCCATATTCCGCAACGAATATGGCATATTCACTTGCGGTGTATGACAGATTCACCTGCAGTTGACATACATACTAACCAACGAGAACGTGATACAGAAGAACGCGATTGTCAATTGCATCGATTGAACGAACAGGTGACATATTCACCCGTATCACAAATACCGCACAACCATGAATGTATGCCATATTCCGCGTAACAACCATTACATAAAGGACCGTGTTTATTACAGAATGTTTTCAATAATTGGTTAAAAAGCAAAAAATGAATTCAGTTCGCCATATCGATCCCAATCCTTTGGAGGTAACGGCCATTACATTCGCTTGGTACTGACCAGTGGTATGACAGCCAACCCCGTAGAATGATTTGTTCACGGCTTAACTTTTGATAACGAGTTTATCATTCGAAGTTCTTGCTGCCTAAATGATTTAAAGATACCATACAATTATCTACAGATGGATATATGTAATATAACTAGAATAGTAACTACATCGAGATATTTAAGTGCACAAATTCGAAACGAATAAGATATTTCTTGCATGGAATTACCCATCTGCAGTGCTTAGACAGGTCCAACTTTTTGAGAGTTACACTACAGTACTAATATTCATCATTAAAATAACCAATAATGAGTGAAATCAGTAGTTTTTCAGTTTTGAAGCGGATATCTATTTTTACACGTTGTATTTAAGTAAAATGGTTCAAAATATTCATATTAAATGCTCAGGTGATGTTTACGATTCTTTATTAATTGTCTAAGGGGGAAAGATCTTTACATTGATATATTTCTTTGTCTTTTAAATCTCATAAACAAAACAAAACTTGGTATGCATCATTTTGGATTAATAACAATTTATTCTGGGGCTGGGTTACTTTAACATAATAACTGGGTTCATAAATACAACATAATTGAGCTGCATGGCCGCATGGCCCAACGAGAACAAACCCAAACTCCTGAACCTAATGCTGCATTGACTGTCATATACACTGTAACGACTAGAAGGGAACAAAATGACTAGGGAGTGAGTCTCGAAAAATTGTCACAATTTTATATTAAGAATTTAGAACATTTAATTTAATGTTTCTTTCTTTAATCAATCCATGTCGGACTATTTTTTTAAGAGTCCTCATTTCATTGACTTGATTTTCATGGTCATCTTGGCTTTTCAGTTCAATAACAATAATCCAATTGTTAATACATATGGTTGAGGGAAGTATGAATATCATAACAACAGATGTTATCAGGAGTAAACGAAATCCCTGCATGGGATGAAGATGATCATAGAACATAAATATATACCACTCTTCATAACATAATACAGTGAAAAACCTTCAATACAGTATAAAACTCCCTTAAGTGAAAACATGAGAGACAATGCAAGATATACAAATAAATGTGAATCAAGAAAAGACTTTTCATGTTAAAGAGGTGGGCATAGAGAGGCTTTTCTGTACAAACTACAAAAATAAGTAGGCATTGTACAATTACATATTAGTTTAAAAATCAACATAGGTTAAAACATTGTCTTTTTATTGATAAAAACATGTATAGGCCTATTACTGCTCACAAGTAGCGGTATTCTTCCCACATTGAGATCAATATTGAGGCGCAGCACCTCAATATTTTTCAAAACACAAAAATGCACCTCAATTTAATATGCCTCCCCAAAATCCCCAAAAACTAAAATGTTGAGCAGAAATTTACAAAATTGAAAAATGTTGCATAAAATGTTAAAATTTAATTCTTAAATGTTGTACTAAAAAACAAAATCATCCACAAAAATTCTTAGGGAGAGCACTAGGAAGGTAATAAGCATTTTTGTTATCATTATGACATTTCATGAAAGAGTAAATCTCAGTAATTCTAAGTTTTGTTACAAATTGCGTTATGATAAAACATCAAATGGTGAGCGTATGGCAATAAAGGTAGAAGGTAATACAATATGAGGACCACTGAACTTAGCATTATTATATTCTTAAAAAAATTATCTTGTATATTGCCTTTTCATGAAAGTCTTTTGATATCGTATACCACCTACACCAGGTGATTGTGGTATCCATGAAGAGTTTTTAGATGGGTATAATACTTGGTATACCAAAAACCAGTTCACAATAGCTATGAGAACAGCAGTCACTTTCTGTATCATGTTGTGAAAATACAGTGTAGTAGACACCAACATCAGTTCCCAGATCCATGTGAATATGGTTAAAACAACCATCATTACCCGGATAAAAGGGGTTAGATTCCTATATGATATTTGGAGTTGCGATAGTTCTTTTTCCGTCAGGTGAAGTATTCCGTCATGTTCATCCTGCTCAATTAACTCTGGTATTTTATCCCAGTTTTTAAGCACTTTGACTTCCTCAGAAATTAGCAGCAGGTTGTGAACCAATAGGAAGCAATGACCAGATATGTCGAATCCAAGCCAGATATGTCCTGAACGATAACATGTCTTTTTGTTGTCAAAGTCACGATCTGAACAGACACCAGTCTGATGCTCAATATATTCAAATAATGTTGTCCAGAAATACCACACGAAAGTTCCAACAACGAGTCGTCCTAAATGTCGTTTCACTTTTGACCAGTCCCCACAAGTGATGGTAAAAGTGGTCATGATTATATGTATAGACAGAATCAGTAGTGTCCATCCCCATCCTAGCTTCACAAAGAAGACGTTTATGAAGTTCTTGCTATTCGAGAAATAAGATCTTGGCAGCGGGAATAAGTCACAGATAATTGATCCCAGAAATATTCCGACGAAATACACTCCAATCTTTACCGACGTATCTATGAACAAAACTTTGCGACAGAGATGTAAAATCATTAACTTAACAAAGCTATTTAAATTTGTGGGTCCAGGTATATGCTTTTTAGGACCACCTATTGCGGATGAAGACGTCTTTCGCTGCATTTTCAGAATATTTTAAACCGGAAGTTCTGTCAAAAAGGGTAAAAGTTTACACCTGTCATAAAGTACCCGATCAACATAATCAGAGTCGCCGTCGGTTTCATCAGATATACGTGTAGGAATCCTGCGTGTAGAAATTACGTCAGCTGAATTCGTTTCTTCTAGAAATTAACTTTCATCATTCCATATGATTTGTTAAACTTTTTGAGGTCATACCATTAATATCTATTAAAATTAAAATTGATCCAATTCTAGTGGGAATTAAAACTAAACAGCCTATGATACAGGGTGATCCACTAGATTCCACAAATTCAAACACTGTACTGCTCAAATAAAGAAAATAAAACCGCGAAACACATTTCCATAACAAGATGAATATACACATGAACCGGAGTTTCTCGCTTATATGCCCATGGGTGTTTATTTGAAGGGGTGTATTGAAAAGTTATCTCCCCCCCCTTTTTAACATGTAGAGACACATCCTTTTCGATACGTCATTGGGCGAAACATTCGAGAAAAGGATTCGTCATTGCAATTGCTGAAAAACAACGTAATATTTTTTATATATGCGTTAATAAATGTATATTTTTATTTTCTCTCCGACCAAAGAATTTATATTCTTCGATTATTAGATATTTACGATTTCTTCCCTCAATTGAATTGAAATGAATTGACAATTTCGTTTGTTAATTTGTGTAAATATGTCATTTGAAACGTTGTTCTATTGATTCCCTCTTTGAATGCCCACCTTTTTTGGAAAAACATTTCCATCTTAATAAAGGCCTGCTGACGATCATATCGAGGACTTAAAAACACCCATGCAAAATAAACCAAATGAGTTATTATATAAACACAATAGGAATTCATTCATATTAGATTGGATACAGGGCGTATCAAAAAACGCAACAAGCGGTTATCTCGTAAAATCACAAAACTAGTGATGACTACATCAATTTCATTCAATGTATACCATAAAGCCACATCCCTCTTCTTTGCAATAATATATCTTGCATTCACACGTGGCCATGATTGGATGAGATATCCTCCCATTTGCACAGTGGGTCAAAGTCAGCTCTGGACCAAGTTTCAGATATTGCAAAATTCAGTCGGGCTAAGTGCTAATGGAACTCCTCCTGACATTACTTTTTCTTTTGGAGCTATCTCAGGAGCAGAGTGTTAACCGTTTCTCCACCAGAAATTGCAAAACGTTCGAGAAAGAATTGTCTTAGATGAGCGCATCTTTGAGTGCACAGAAGTGGTAGCCATTTTGGAGGGGTACATGTATAGGACGTATTCTTGCAAGAATATGAGTATAAACACTTTACTGTCTGTCACCTGTCACACTTTTTTCCAATAGCCCTTATCCCATGCACTGACTTTTGCAATGTTTATACGTACATTTATACTTCGGTCTGAGCTGAATTTTGCCCCACTTTGCGAAATGATTATTCGGCCATCCATGACTCCATGTGACTGAATGACATTCCATTGCAATAAGGAGAAATTTGGCTTTTTGGTACATTGAATGAAAAGGATGCAGTTATCATTGCTTTTATGTTTTCTTCCAATATTGCATCGGGCCCCGTACACTGACTTTCGCGATGTTTATAACTTGGTCCTAAGCTAATTTTGGCCAACTTTGCAGAAGGAATGATTACCCGCCCAACCATAACCCAATACCAACGAATGATATACCATTGGAAAGAGGAGACAGATGGCTTTATGGTACATTGAATGAAATCAATGCCGTTATCACTGGTTTTGTGCTTTTCCGAGATAACAATTTGTTGCGTTTTTTTGATACGCACTGTATAACATGAGCTTTCAAAACGCGGCCCATCATGTATATAATAAGTTCATTAGGTATTGTAGGAATATAATACTAACTATACTTTAATTCATTGTTTTTGACACTATCTTGAAAAACATATTTATGTCATACTTTGGCGAGGCCATTGTCTCGTCTGCCTAATGCCTGACCACGACAATGAAAAAAGTTCAATTATAGAACATTCAACAAAACAAATATCAGACCTAGCAATTCGAGGGCACATCGGGGGTCACTACACACTTAGTGATAGTAGTTTCGTTATGTAAGGAATAGTTATATTTTGATAAGATTTGTCCTATAGAGGGATATTTCCATTTCCCAGTTTTTATGAAGGAAATGCTTGGATATGCATTCAGGGTGTTACAATGTACATCAAATTGAATACATTGATGCAAAACGGGTCATACTGGTGTCTGGTGATTGTAGGGTTAAAGTATACTATTATATTGTTACTGCTACACCTGATGCCGCGAGCCACCAATAATAAGGTGTCTCTCATTTTGATAAATAAAAACAGATGTAGGCCTATGGGTAAAAAATTGAACTTAGGATAATATTTTGCATGCACTAAATAAAAGACAAATAAAAAAGAACCCCAACGGACGTAGCTAGGAAGCTGGTAATATATTTACCTTGTATATTTATTATGGATCCTGCCTGTGCCAAAGAACATTTAAACATTCATATACATTCATTCCTTATATTTTACTATACCTAACGATATCATTTTTTTCTTTACTCTCCCCATCCATAAGTTTGGCAACCTTAGACCCCACATTGAACTACGTGTTAAAGCCTCCTTACCTTTGAATTTTTATTTACATAACCTCCAATGAAAATATTTAGACTATTGATGGGAACGTAATTTGACTTTATTTCCAATACCTCCAAATTTTCTCAATTTTTTCCTCAATTACAATAGGTCGAAAATTGATGATAAATTGATGAAAAGAACAGGTCCATTTAACAGACTATTGGTCCACTTAGACTTTTTCTGAAAAACTCATTCTTCCATTTACTTTTAAAACCGATTGCAAGTTGTAGATAAACCTTTCTTCTTGAGATGTGCAATTTCAAAAAGTGGCATAAGTTCTCCGTTTCTTTGAAAAATTGGCAGTAAGAACCCCTATCACAAGGCTGTCTGAATATGGGTACACATTATGTTTACCATCAAAATAATATCAAAACTTATCATTATATAGAATTTAATATATGGAATATATGGCATACAAGTATTCGGAGAAGAAAATCGACAAAATCAAGCGATGTATGTAGTTTACCTATGCAAATCTAGAAAACATTGTCATTTTTCGTTCACTTTGTTATCAAGTTTTAGCATGGTGCTCATTCCCTTTCATTGAAAAATTAACCGTCAGCCCACACTCCCACAAAAAATATATTGAAACTGTATAATGCAGAGACTGTAAAGTAACTTCTCTGCAAATATCATTTTTGTGGGAGTTTGGGCTCACCACTAAAACTTAACTTTTGTGATGAAAATAAGCCTGACTGGTTTATGTTTTCAATATGGCTGCTAACCTGGGCATACATGTACACTACATAACTGCATGTACAGATTAGGCCATCCAAAATTAATTATATGTTGGCATTCTGATGAAGAGCCTTATATTAAAAACTACAAAACCTTCATTTATTTAAAGGGTTTTATATATTATTTAAGAGTGAAAATGCAATAACACATTGTGCCAAAGCAAGTAACACACCTCTTGAGTTGAGATGACCTTGTTAATGAAGTTTATATACATGTAGTTTTTAATCAATCTTGGAACTCATTTCGCTACAATAAAATCCAAGATCACAATTCCCTTTGTCATTTATATACATTACAAGTAGAAAGTACATGGGGACATTTTGTTTTTTCTGAAAACATAGAATTTAGTGACATTATTATAAGTAAATATTTGAATGGCCTAAGTGTTTTTCTAAATAGGGAATAAGTAGAAATTATTTTAGGCAATCCTTTGAGTGTCATGCCATTCATACATGATGCTGCCTTATATTTCATGATATATATCGAGAGAGGATTTCTCTGAATTATTTGTGTTTCAAATATGGGAACTGCAAATTGTCAAATAACTTTAAAAGTAAGTGAACATTCAAACATTTTAATTTCAAATGCCAAATAAAATGGCAAATGCCAATGGGCATTTAGTAAAAGTGACCCTATAACTATTTAGAATATGGCAAACATGTTTAAAAAACTGGCGAGAAGCAATTGAAATAAGAAAATCTATTCTTTTTGAAGTGCCCTTGTGTGCATTTAATTTCAGTCATTTTATCCTAATTGCCCATGGGCATTTTAAATAATAATCACATCTCAACTCTTAAAACATGCTTAGGATACTGTTAGAGTCTCAAAAGGCAACAAGAGCAATCATTTTTGAAACAAGAAAATTTAGTCCCCCAAAAAATGCCCATATCGGTATTTATTCTCAAGATTTTTAGGTAATTGCCCGTGATAATTTATTAAAAATGTTTTTGTTTCTATCCACATGTCTTTTTATCAGTTACAATCAAAATAAAGCCAACTGCTCTCATTTCTTGGATTAGAAACAGTAAAATTTTGACAAAAATAGCAACTCTCAAAGTTGACCTTTGAACCACCCTAGTGTCAAGGTCAAATGTCAAAACTCTCAGAAATCACATTTTAAGTAATGAGTCATACTTCCTCTTCAATTCCATGTCAATATATACTTGATTTGTAGGGGGGCTAAAAGAGGGATTTACCGCCACATGTCATTTGGAGGTATTGGAAATAAAGTCAAGTTACCTTTCCATCAATGTTATAGTTATTTCATCGCAGGCAGGTTAAAGGAAAATTCCTTGCCAAACCATCTCTCTCCTCATATGGTAGCTATAACCATATATATGCTTGCCATGTTTAGCAAAACACGCAAAAATGTTTTGATATGGTCAAATTTGATCACTTAGAAATGTGATGCTCAATTCCAGTAAGCTGCCATCTTTTAAATTTTCACACAGGAAGTGATGTCATCGACTCTCAACTTTGCATACAGCATTAGGTGAGGAGCTATTAAGAATTACAAAACCAGCTAAATATTCTTTTTCAACTTTGTATCTTATTTAATCCTTCTGAAAATCTCTTCTTTTATTCTAAGTTGACAAGCCCTGAAAATATTTTTGCACAGAAAGTAATGATCACTTGTCTAGAAGTGATTTTGTGCTACTTTCCTATACTGTTATGGGCAAGGTTATGGAAGTTGAGAGTTGATGACATCACTTCCTGCAAGAAATCTTAAAAGATGGCAGCTCACTGGAAATAAGCACTAGATTTTTAAACGATCAATATTGACCATATTAAAACATTTTCCCATGTTTTGCTAAATAAGGAAACTATATATATGATTATAGCTACCATATCAAGAGAGAAAGGGTCTGGCAAGGAATATTCCTTTAAGTAAATAAAAATTCAAACGTTAAGAGGCTTTAACACGTAGTTCAATGGGGGAGCTAAGGTTGCCAAACATATGGAGGGGAGTGTACGTTTATCAATTATAAAATCGGTTAATGTTATCAATTGATTTATTCGAATTAGATATGTCTCTGTTTGTTACAAGTTCGTATAAGTACCCTAATTTATAATAATTAGAGGTATAACCGTCACAAGATAACATATATGTACATTATTGAACTTGGATAATCTTGGATAAATAATAATTGTTTGTTATATATTCAGCTTAGACTGGTTATTAACTGGTGTTCAAGATAATACCATTCTGTCCGGTCTGCAGAAATTGGAAATAAAAGATGAGAACGTTGTCTACATGTATGAGTTCACTCTTGAATATATTGCTAATTGTGTGTTGACCATAAGGTATCCAAAAATTAATGTGAAGAATTAGTTCTTAAATGATTTAACATTTTCAGTATTTTGCAGCACATATAGTCATCTGGCAAATCTATTATTGCTTTTTTAATTACGATAGAAAAAATGTGACAAGTCAGTCAGAAAAGTCAGTAATTGTCTCTGTAACCATTGTTGTACTTGTTGCAGGAACTGCTTTACATCTTTACGGGAATAACATCTCTGCAAAATATAAATATGTACTTACTTTTTAATTTACATAAGGCATAATTATAACATGCTAAATATCACTACCTAATTACAGAAGCCGATTTCCGAACGCCGAACACCAACCGCGTGTTTTAATCTTTCCATATTACTGTCAGTATCACGGTATATTATACCTCACCATGATATGACAAACCAGGGCGTTTCATATGCGGATTAGGGGGAAGGGGCATCACCCCCAAGGGGCAGCCCCCCCCCCCCCCCTAGGATAGGCCAAGAACAAAATTGGCCAAAAAAGTTCTAGGGCCTCAATTCGTGGGCTTTGTGTGCATAACTGGGCCTTTTTTAATATTTGGCCTTTACAAAAATTTGTGATTTTTTATTTAGTATTTTGTTAGTTTCCAGATACGCCCCTAGGTTCTCATTGGATCCAAGATGTTTTGAGAAGTACTCAAAATGGTGGAAAACGGCTGAGCCTTACTGTCTATGAGCAAATCACTCTAACGGTTGACTGAACCCTCCATCCATTAGAATATATCTCCCATGTCGTCGCTTTCTCTGGATACTCAACGATGGTGGCTGACTTTACCGATGCACTGTTACCATTTAATATTGTTCCAATAAGCCAGTGACCAAATTTGTAATACATATACAGGCGACGTGACGTATGCTTATATGAAGCTCTGTAGTTGAAGACGCTTCCAGTGATGGCATACTGGCCATTGAATTGGGCACGAGTGCCGCCAAAACCACTGACTAGAAGGCGTCGACAGGATGTGCGACCTAGAATACAGAACATGCATAAAGGCTTCGAGTGAAATAAGGATAGTCATCAATTCATAAAATGATGGCAAGCGTGGCCCACGTAAATTGTTTATTTAATCTTCTCAATTATCACAACGTTGCAAGGCCTGTTTCATCGGTTCCCACCTGGTCATAAAGAAGTTACGTTAGCGGCCATTTTGAATTCAGCAGTCATTTTGAAAATTCCTCTTTGGCAGATTTTTATGTCCACACGACATCGGCAAATAAAATCGGAGCCATCTCTGACAAATGGTATGTATGAGTTATCAAAAATATATATTATATGATTTATAGATGGCATTAGCAATATAATAGTCATGATCACATGTCATTATACAATATTCACTTCCTTTTTCTCTAGCCTCGTTCACATCAATAGATTACACGCTATGTACTGTATTTCCTAGCTGAAGATCCACCACAATATCTAAATTTGGTAAGCCATCCATTTTTCATTTTACTTTTATATATCTTATCATACATCAATTGGTTAATTACAACACATATTTTAGTACATTTTTCCAAAACTGGTATTTTATCAGCAAACTTAGCAATATATTTGTATTATAGTTCAGGTCGTGTATAGGCTTAGTGGCTCCTACCCGGGCCGGGGGCTCCTATACCACATCTCCCCTTCAATTAAAAGCCAAGTGTGTTATCTCAATTAGCAAAGTTCCCAATCAGTCAAGTATTTCAAATACGCCATATATTCATGGTTGTGCGGTATTTGTGACACTGGGGAATATGCCATACTCACCTGCGGTATATGGCATATTCTCCAGGTGATTATGCCATGTATTGCAGTGGATATGCGAAACATAGATTTCAGTGAATACCCGATACTCACCTGTGGAATATGCCATACTCACCTGCAAAATACGTCATCCTTACCTGCGGAATATGCCATATACCGCAGGTGAAGACGTGATACAGAAAGCTTCGATTTGATTGGTCGATTGAATCGACTCTAAATGTAAAACTACGCTGGATTGCCAATATTGTTAGCGCTTCAAGTATTAATATATGAATCCTGAATTGATTAAGTAAGTTTTGTACGTGTTATTGCTGGATGCTACTTCTGAAAGTATCGGGAATGTGTAAATCGTGAATTTCCAATACAACAATACATGGATACTCGTGATTTTGTATGTTCTTGTCTAGTCTTTGTCGATTTGGTTAAAAAGTCACTGATAAGCTCCATGAATGTAGATTCGTCTATTTATGCATAATAATGTTTCCATTGTGCACTGTATTTGCGTGTAACACATACATAATAGACAACATCAAACATTCAGGTACCACTGGTGTATGTTATTCAATGGTATTAACTCATGTATTCAGTGGCACTGACCTGTTCATCCAGTAATCATTATATAATAATTTATATTATGATTATGGCATATTTTTGTATCGCGTTTACGCCGTAACAAAGTACAATGTACTGTATTCAATTAGTCAAGGTCACAGTTAATTAAGCACTCAGTTTAAATTGATTCTCAAATTAATATGACCTCTTGTATTTTATCTTACCTGTGCATTTCATTGCTTGGTCTTTTTATGTAAGGCTTAACAGTGCCCCTGGCTCTGCATTTAAATTACTTTACTTATAAATACGTATATACACAACATCCTGTTGTTCAAATGTACGATAACAACTAATGGAACAGATCCCAGCTCGAGCTCACATTAATTTGGACAAGGAAAACAGGACTGTGAGAAATGCAATTAGTAATACTAATTAATAGCAGGAATAAAAGAAGAATTTGCTTTTTTTTAAAATGACAAAATTGTCCTGTTTTGGAAATATGTCGAGGGTGAGAAGTTTCTCTGTTCCAGTTTTCTTGATTTTGACGATGACTTTGTCAGTTTATTGGGGATTTTCAGTAAAAACAATAGGAACTTGTATAAAAGCCTTGCTTTCAGCAGATACGTCACCTAGAAGAGCACACATATCGACGGCAGGTGATGAATCCGTGAAAAACTTTCTTTATATTGTGAATTCTTATCAATGCATACGCGACTATCTTGTACAGATGGACACGTTGGGAGATCCAAAGAATTTGGACGTGCTAGTATTGAGTTATAAAGCGCCCTGTAAAGACTCGAAGTTTGACCATGTTAAGTACATGTTTGGTCCAAATACAACTTGGACATCTGGAAGAAACCTTGCTTGGACATATGCGCAGAAGAATCTTGGAAAATATCTGTATTACGTTTTTCTTGATGAAGATATCCTATTAAAACCAACACTGCCAAGAATTTTGAGTAAAAATGTGCTTAATAAACTGAAATCAAATACTTCCATACTGAGACAATTTGAAGATTGTCTGCTTGAAACACAACCTGCAGTTGGTGCGCCTATGTTTTCAGGGGGTGACCCTTTGCTTATTTCCGACGAATGTAAACTGGATAATTATAGAAAAGAATGGAATCTCCCAGAGCGAGTTCCAATGATATACTTTGATATGATATTCGTAGCACTCCATAATAAGGCTATTGAGCATTTAATGCCACTAGATGTACAATATGACAAACAAAGTTGGTGGGCATCAGGACAATATTTGCAAATGAAATCCTATTATTATTTTCATCGTCAAGTTGCACGGTATACCCTCATGACCGTGCATAACAATCGGCATAAAGGTTATCCACGAGGTCTTGTTTCATATGCCGATATAATTAAGGACATCAAATCTAAAGTTCCAATGTCTTACAGAAATGCAACAATATTTAGGCAGGACATAAAGATAATGAAAGGTAATAATGTCGGGAAAAAACAAATGCCATTTAACCCATTGAAACCAAGTTTTGAATTGGCTCCTAAAAATGATGCTATCGCTCCTTTCAAATATATTGAGCGTAAGAACAACCCATTTGAGAATAATGATTGCTAAATGCCATATTGCTTGATAATTACAGTCACGTTTAATCTCATGAATTGAATATGACACTCTCTTGCTTTTGGAGTCGTGTCGATTGCAACGTGAATGAAAGAATTCACCTTCAAGGCAAATGATAATCAGTAGCCCCATAATGTGGATGGTGCTATATTTGAAAGCACCGTAATGTGGATCGTGCTTAGTTCGGATTGAAAACCCCATAATGTGAATGGTGCTGGCGTCTGGGAGCTACATAATGTAGATGGCGCTCGAGTCTAAAAGCCGCATAATGCGGATGGTGCTTGAACGATTGCTCCATAATGTGGATGGCACACGCGTTTGGAAGCGCTTTTGCACCTTCATATTTTGATCAACAGCCCATAGTAGAAATGTTAATGGATTTTAAAACTGTTGGGGTCAATGCCCCTGGATGTGCGGCATTACCTGTTATGCATTTTGCTTTCAATGTTGGTGCCAGTGACCAACTTCTGCCAGCAAAAACGGACCACGGTGTACCAATGGCTTGTGGCGTAGGCAAGCGGGTATTTCTATATATTCCAACCAACGATGTCCCAATTGAACTTCCAATGAACCACATACCACTTGAAGCACTATAGAACATATAATCATCACCAAATTCGTGCTTGTATACTGGACGGTGGTTGAATGTCTTAGGTTCCAGAAAATAGAGTCCTTGGCGTGCAGTCTGACTAGGGCTACTCCCGAATAAAATCTTTGCACAGGGTGTTGGTGCTAAAAATTGAATATGGCAATTACGTGACTATTTACATATTGATCAAAGTAACTGTACCTAAAATACTTTAGTATTTGAATTATTTACCAGAGCGTCTGTTTTGGTATGTCAATCTATTCAGTAATGATTTGTTCAACTGTACTGTTGTTTTTGTTGTTGATGTTGTTTAAATTGGGATAGTAATATTGTTTCTCAGGTGATATATGGTCATTCTTTACGCATTTGAACATAATTTAGGAAATAATTGGAAGGGCTAGTCTTTTTCTTTTGACTGGTTAGACATGTATGCTTTATTTTTGCTTTGGCCCATGCACTTCTATAATTTTTGGTTGTTTTAAAAAGTTACCTTTAAAACACACCACGGTCCATTTTGAGTCATCCACGAAGCCGAACCCATTAAACATTTTCCATGTTGAAGTTACGTCGTAAGGAAGTATTGCTCTGTCCCGCACGTAAGCACCAAACGAAGATCCACCTATAGCAGGACCGATGGCCCAACCATCTACGTTCGAACTTATATACAGGAATGAGTCTCCGGATTCGTGCATATAAACTGGACGGTGGTTCAGTGATCCTGCTCTTAGTACATAAACACCCTGACGGGCTCTCTGTAGAGCACTACCAGAGATGAATAGTTTCTGACATGGGGTTATATCTAAAAGTAAAAGTAAAAATGAACAGTTTACATTCATATATAAAAACAAAAATTAAGTCATCAATTTATTAAAATTATTCACCAGCAAATGGAATTAACAAAATTATGAAATTTATAAATAATTTTCTCTATTTCCATATTTCATTTTACTTAATAGTAGAGTCCGTGTTGAGGTTATGCCATATTATTTATTTATCCCCACAATGAAAATGCCTCCAAATTTTATTGATATTCTTTTCAAAAGTTATATCACTAATTACATTTTCATTTATATTTTTTGCCCTTTTGAATTACATTACTTTTTATATCGTAATTTGAAAACGAAGTTCATGTAAAATGTAATTTTGGTTTAGCAGGAGCAAAGTGATCCATGGTGTGTATAATTGAGCTTTATCCATCTAGACCTACTGTATACCATCATTTATATATCTAAGGCATTGTTTCTGTTGCAAGTACAAATATCAAAGCGGGCATTCTCTCCATTTCAATACTTTCTGAAATTCAGCCATTACTCTCAACTGTTCCTCTGGTAATGATACAAATTTTGAACCAATTACGGACATAAACTTGAATTCGTTTAATTCGATTTACACAATTCAATATTGTACCCATATTGTAAAATGCGCACGCACCCAGGTTAACGCAGTCAGCTGAAACTGTTTTGACTGTCTTCCATTGCAGATTGATTCCATCAAACAGTTCCCACGTGTCGGCCATGATATTCTCGGGAACCATAGCTGTGTCTGAGACCCTCACGCCCACGCTGCCCTTCATGTCTCGGCCAATGAACCAGTACCTGATACCTTCACCAAAGATACCGTAATACATAAAGTGTTTTCCAGTCTCGTGGGTGTAGACGGGACGCCCGTTAAATAACGATCCTTCCAAGAAATAAAGCCCGTTTCGAAGTGATTGGTAATTTTTGATCCCAGTCACAAGAATAGAATCACATGGTATTGTACCTGAAAGAATTCGTGTTGGCTTTAAAAACATTGCTCGCGAGCACTTGTTATAATTTAAAAGCTCACTAAGTATAGGTATGAGTGTGATTTTTCTAATATTTACAGAAATAAAGTTTTGTTTAAATGTCTATTAATGGTGTAAAATTATTAAGTTACATTTATTCTGAATAATATTTGATTTAGCTGCATTTTATATAAGTCATAGCCATCGAGCCCCTTTAAACATTAATCGTTAATAATTAGCAAGGCATTAAACTTAATAATGAATATTTTTTGACCTTTAAAATTGAAAAAGGCCCTTTTGACCTTTTTGACCTTATGAAGGTCATTGAAAGTGAAATCTCAATTTAAGTAAAGTAAGATTTGAACTTCTGAGAACTTGTAGATTTTGAAAAAAAATCGGGTCAATTTGAAGCAAGTTGAAAAATACCTTTTTGACCTTTTGTTAACCTTTTTTGACCTTGAAAAGGTCATTGGTGACATTAAAAGTCGGATCTGAAATAAAATGAACAGCACAAAATGTTGATATGTTCTGTATAATGTTACACTCACCAAAATAACACTCAATTTTTATTTTCTTATTGCCAATTAACCACGCATTTGGTATTTTTGCTGGATTTGTTTCAGTCGTAATAAAAGGTGATACCAAAGTGTGGGAATCAGACTTAAACTGCCATTTATTTCTACCGATCATGCTTAATGTTACATCCCCATTAGAGGAGGTCCTCTTTTTATACACTGGCGCACCATTATTGTCCATTTGGAAGAGTGCATAGGCTCCATTTAGATAACCGTATGTAGATTGTTTTGAAATGCCGCTAAGCCAAATACTGTCACATATATCGTCGCATGTTAATGACAATCGAGGTTCTGAAATCCAATTTCCCGAACTAAACGACTTCCATGTTTCAGTGACTTTGTCGGGTGACGCCGCATTGCTTAGTACTTTCATCCCGGCACTTACTCCTCCTACCACTGCACCAAACAACCAGGTACCCGAACGATGGTATAAGAACAATGGCTCTATTATGTGCTTATACACCGGTTTAGAATTCCATGGAATGGACAGTTTTTTGTAAATTCCTTGTCTCCATTTTTGTTGGCTATTGTCAACATTTTTCAGCTTCAATGCTTTACAGGGAACGACTCCATCACCTGTAATGTAGTGAAGATAACATAAACAAAAAAGGATTGTTATTTTAATCCTTGCACCACGTGTATAAATGCTGAGAAAAGAGTTTATTGACCATTCGAATATAATTATAAAGGTAGATTTATTTGAAATACCTTCAATAGAAGAATATTCAAGTTTGAAGCCAGTTCTCTTGCCTTTTCCAACAAAAACGTTGTTTGATTTCAGAATTATCATCATTTCGTTTCCAATTGACACAAACGCTTTGTTCGGTCCTTCGGTGCAACAAAACCTATTACAGAATGTACATCAAGCAATTTTTCTTCACGTCATTAAAACCAATATAATATAAATATTACCAGGCTCTTTGCAAGATGATATTTCACTAGCGCTCGAGGTTTCGTGGAGTATCACCTGTGAAATATGCAAAGGTGGCGACCATGCGGATCCAGAAATTAACAAAAAAATTTTAACAAAAAAATTTCCGCATTTGCGCAGAAAAACATTTTGGGCCCCTTAAACCAAAAATTGGGCCAAAACTTTGAAAAATTAAGGCCCATTTTTGATAAATTGTCCCAAAAGACCAAATTATGCCCCAAATACCCATTTTTGAAGCCCTACAACATTTTGGGGCCGATTTTTTTTTATCTGGGCCCACTTAAGGCCCATGCCCCCTCCCCGGATCTGCCACTATTCATTATTAAAATTTCCGTGCCTAAATATTGCACAGCATAAAGATATTACTATATTTTTGGACGTTTTATGCAAGAAAGCAAAATATCCATTTAAACAATTGATAATGTGTAGATAATTTCAAATATATATGTTTGGTACCTTGGCCCAGGATAACCTAGATTGGTATATCGTATTTCAAACCAATCGTGGTCACATATGGTTGAATTTACGACCGAACAGGCAGTTTCAAAGTCGCCAACAACACGTGCACTTACACGGCGCCCAAACGGTGCCTAAAACAAATCAATCAAGTAAATTCAGAAAAGTATTCGAAAGTGTCTTGATCTAGGACTCTAAAACTAGCGAATTTAATGAGAAAAGCGAGGATTTTTGATACAATATGTAAATTGGTAATACACACTCTACATTTCTGTAGTGTAAGATCATATTTCAAAAATATATTTTGCAGTAATACAAGCAAAAAACATAATAGTATTTATTCTGTAAGAATGTGTGTTATGAAAATTCATGCATAATTTATTCATCGAGCCTTCTGCCACAATATAATTCATTTTGAGAAGGTTCTATAATCTATATTGTCTGACCTGAAGAAGCCATGTGCACGTGGCATGGCGTTTATATCCCGGTAATGGGTAACCAGGACTGAGCAAAGATTTTGAACTTGGATCAGCAGAGAATGTTCCACCACAAACAGCTGAAAGTAGGAACAAATATACATTAATGTATGTGTTACACAATTGCCATACTACGTGTACGTACTAAATTAAGCGTGACAGTTGAACGCGCGGGGTACGGTACAACACGAGGGTGATGCAATTTGAGCGAACCGATGTTTTCATCGTTTCAGAAAGATCTGGTCTAACTTATAGATATTTTTGTATGTGAATGTCTGTAACAATATCCTAGACAGTGAACTTCACAATGAATTTAATTGTTGACCTGCAGATTTTCCGAATGTAGTATAGGGCCTACGGTATAACGCGCGGGTAAGATACGGTATAACGCAAATTCCAATTCCCTGTGTTGTACCTTAAGCTTACTGTTGCCGCGCCCTGTGCATACGGGTACTGTAAGACTAAAGATTTATAAAACACAGCATGAAAATACGTCTTGCGACCGTATTGATGATGACATATGATGATGATGATAATTTACTTTTTGTTTGAATTTAAATCTAGTAGCTGTGAGTGTGGAACAAAGGATATTCGGGGATGGAAATGGTTCATACCATTTGAGATGGTTTGCCTCTTTCGTAAGTGAGGAGTGACGCCTTCTGAAGACGGTTCGAGATTTTCACATTTTGCTCCGCTCCATCCATCAATACATCGACACACGCTGCAATTGAGTGGGTTTCTGTATCCGCCATGTTGGCACTCCGACCATTCCAATGTGTCATATCCTGGACACCGTTCTGTGTAAAAATGATATTATTCACCTATTTCATTATCAAGCAATCTGCACTATCGACTTCAGGTTTTCTTCGAGGGTACAATATTGAACAAATATTTCACTCTATTGAGGTGAATACCTGTACATCTTTCACAAGTGATATTCCACGAAGCCCGAAGGGCAAGTGGAATATCACCTTGTGAAAGTGCTACAGGTATTCACCGAAAGTAGAGTGAAATATTTGTTTTATTATATCACTGTCTAGCTAAACATCCCTAATATTTATCCGAAATTGTTCATTGGTTAGGTGTATGATTAAATAGATTAAAATTCCTCAATTCACTAACCTTTTATAGCAATACTATCTAGCTTTCGACAACACCTGTTGCCTTTCTCAAGATGTCTGAATTTGGCGGGAAACTGGTAGATTTGACCTTGACTTGATCTTTGACCTAGCAACCTCAAGTAGACTCGGGGAAACCTTGTATCCTAAGTCTCTGTTAAGTTCAGGTTTATATTTATGAATATGTATCGCTTCCTTTATCTTTCTATCAAAGTATTTAGACTCTGAGTCAATAATTCTATAATCCCAGTTTATCTTATGCGCTTCATCAAATGAATGTTGAGCGATTGCTGACTTGTCTGGGTTAATTCTTAAGGCGTCTCTGTGTTCTTTTATTCTAGTTCCTATGGCTCTCCCTGTCTCTCCTATATACTTCTTATCACAATCTGAGCACTGGATTTCATATATGACTCCGGACTTAAGGTCCTTGGGAGTGGGGTCTTTGGGTGCAACTAACGCTTGTTTGATAGTTTTTACTGATTTGAAACAAGTCTTAACTCCAATTGTCTTGAAAAACACGTTGAAGTTTGGGAGCGATCGAACTCACATAGGGAAGAACTACCTTAATATCCCTATCTTCACTGTCTCTAGCAGGATCCTGTTGCCTAACTGTGTGATTCTGAGCTTGGTTTAACATCCAAGATGGATAACCACACCGGGCTAATGCTTTATTAATATGGGTTTTCTCTGCTTCTAGCTCTGCGGGATTTGTAATAATTTCATTGGCTCTCTTGTGTAAAGTCAGAAGGATAGATCTTTGTCCATTAGTGTGTATAGAAAACCCACACACACTGATTTATACTAAAAATTTGATTCACATCACCCACTTTCAACAAAGAAAGGAATCGTTAAGACTTTACACAAGAGAGCCAATGAAATTATTACAAATCCCGCAGAGCTAGAAGCAGAGAAAACCCATATTAATAAAGCATTAGCCCGGTGTGGTTATCCATCTTGGATGTTAAACCAAGCTCAGAATCACACAGTTAGGCAACAGGATCCTGCTAGAGACAGTGAAGATAGGGATATTCAGGTAGTTCTTCCCTATGTGAGTTCGATCGCTCCCAAACTTCAACGTGTTTTTCAAGACATTGGAGTTAAGACTTGTTTCAAATCAGTAAAAACTATCAAACAAGCGTTAGTTGCACCCAAAGACCCCACTCCCAAGGACCTTAAGTCCGGAGTCATATATGAAATCCAGTGCTCAGATTGTGATAAGAAGTATATAGGAGAGACAGGGAGAGCCATAGGAACTAGAATAAAAGAACACAGAGACGCCTTAAGAATTAACCCAGACAAGTCAGCAATCGCTCAACATTCATTTGATGAAGCGCATAAGATAAACTGGGATTATAGACTTATTGACTCAGAGTCTAAATACTTTGATAGAAAGATAAAGGAAGCGATACATATTCATAAATACAAACCTGAACTTAACAGAGACTTAGGATACAAGGTTTCCCCGAGTCTACTTGAGGTTGCTAGGTCAAAGATCAAGTCAAGGTCAAATCTACCAGTTTCCCGCCAAATTCAGACATCTTGAGAAAGGCAACAGGTGTTGTCGAAAGCTAGATAGTATTGCTATAAAAGGTTAGTGAATTGAGGAATTTTAATCTATTTAATCCCTAATATTATTAAGTCATTAAGTCTTCAGTTATTTTTACGAATCTACTCGGTTCGTCTGCCATTTTGACTTAAACTGAACTTAATTATTTACACTGAACGAAAACAAATTATTTGAAAATTCCCGGGAGCGTGGGATATCGCTAGATATCTCACGGTTGTCTTATCTGATTAGCATTGCCATTGAATATCGCCAGATATCCCACGACATGTGACCCGGTTTTGACCAATCATACTGTCGCTAGCTAGATAGTGATATAATAATATCAGATGTCGAGATATCTTGTAGGCCGATTGAAAAGCTTGTTCAAAAATATTAAGAATGTAAATTTTGTTGGTTAAATAATGACAGCGAGAACCAAGTTTGACATTTCTGTCACCACTAGAAAGTAGTTATAGTATCCAACTTTGTGGACTGTGTTCGGCGGTTGGTGTTCGGCGTCTGTAACAAATGGCAGGTGGTGACATTTTGTATGTTATTGCCTCGTCTTGAATATGACAGAGTAACAATATGCCCAAACTAAAATATCTCCATACAATAATGTTGCGCAAAAAATACACAAATGTAACATATGACTAAGCTGAATATTCTTCGATTATGGCAAATCATGTAAATCAACACATTATTATTGTGTTTTTACCTCTACAGTATTGATAATTAAAGATCTTCACGTCTAAGAATGAAAGTCCCATTCTCTGCCCCATTGTCTTTTGGTATTCCTCAAACTTTGCCTTCATGACCACAGTGCCCTCTCTGTTGCCCATATGCTACATCGATTTATCAATAAAATGAAATAACGAATGTTACGATACAGTTATTATATTTACATAAATCTGAAGAACTTTCTGTGATGTTAGGATACGCCTCCTTAATTAATCTTAGTACGCCTAAAAATAAAATATGGCTCCTTAATTGTAAACCCCATGCAGAGGTTAAAATTTTTATATTTTGAAAAAATACTGCCCCTTAGATATTTGATTTTCGGTCATTTATAAAAAGGTAAAGATTTTCAGATTATCAAATCGGAAACTATCCCAGCTCATACTTTGTATATCAAATTCATATCTTCCATCTCGAGATGGTATCAATAAAATGAAATAACGAATGTTACGATACAGTTATTATATTTACATAAATCTGAAGAACTTTCTGTGATGTTAGGAAACGCCTCCTTAATTGTATACCCCATACAGAGGTTAACATTTTTACATTTTGAAAAAAATAGCGCCCTTTCATTTTACAAAAAAATGTAAATATTTTCAGATTATCAAATCGGAGACTATCCTAGCTCATACTTTGTATATCAAATTGAATTTCCATCTCGTAGCACCTTTTTAAAACCATTTTCAGGCTTCTGGGTCAATTTCAACTTCAGTCAACCGATTTCCTATTTTCAAATCAAATAAGGCAGTTCCACATGATGACAACTTGAATTAAAATGACTTCCTTGACAATCATCACGCATTTCAGCTGTTTGGCCGAATGAAATTTATTGACCACGTGTGGGTAACATAAACAAAATGGAGGTTTAAACTTTGTTAACACGCTTCAAACAAAAGAACGTTAGTTTCCGGATTATCATTCAAGATCAAGAAAAAGAAAGTTAAAAGGAATATGATCATGTCAACTAAAACATCATATCGATAGTATTCAGTGTAGAGAATAGACGTTAATGGAAAAACGAAAGGGGTGCGCGAAAAAAGTAATTATGAGGTAAACTGATAAAGTTTCCACAGAGCTTTATATTATAAAATTGAAATTACCGTTCCACCGTACTGCATTGCAGAAGTGTAATCATACTCCACGTTTTCCGTCAAAGATTCAAACCAATTAAACGACACATAGTTTACGTTGGCTCCTGGGAGAATTCTACTGTTGTATATAGTAACATAGGAGTCTCGATCCGGTCTGGCGTGTTCATGTACAAGACCCAAAGCATGTCCGATTTCATGTTGAATCGTCCCTGGCTGGTACGATAAAACGTTGATATTAAATCTTAAACTATAGACACCACCTCAATTCAAGTATTAACGTTTCTTAAATACCGACTTAACACACGGAATAGTATGGCTATGTAGTCACAGCTTCCTAGTCAACTCGTACCCAAGACAACTCGTACTCAAGACAACTCGTACCCAAGACAACTCGTACCCAAGCTTATTTTCAGTATTATGGGTGCATATTAGGGAAAAAATTGAATTTGTAATGCTTTCATGTTATAATGTGAATATTTTTTTGAATTTAGACGACATTTTTTCTCAATGGATCAGTAAAGCATTTTTTATTAAATAAAAAAGTGCTTGAAGCGCTTGTTCTCAACATTTTTTTGTCAAACATATATATAAATAAAATAATTACAACATTAGATCTGACACTTGTTCCAAACACTCATGAACATACAATATTTTGAAAAATGATTATAAACATATGTCTCTTCACTCAAACATCCTGAATCTGACCAATATAAAATAATAGTCATATTAAATATAAATTGACACTCAGCTCAAAATGTCACAAAATTAAATCAATTTCTTCCGAAAATTCTTCTTCAAACTTTAAACTATTCTGAACAGTATGTTACAATTATAATATGTATATCTATTCACATTCCCAGTCCAATGCTTGATTCAAAACAAAATATATACTTGGGTACGAGTTGTCTTGGGTACGACTTGTCTTGGGTACGAGTTGACCAGTTACCTTCTAGAACTACATGTATACTTACGAGGAAACAATTAGGCAGTTCTAGAACTACATGTATACTTACGAGGAAACAATTAAGTACTTCTAGAACTAAATGTATACTTACGAGGAAACAATTGGGTACTTCTAGAACTACCTTACATGTATACTTACGAGGAAACAATTGGGTACTACTAGAACTACATGTATACTTAGGAGGAAACAATTAGGCAGTTCTAGAACTTCATGTATACTTACGAGGAAACAATTAAGTACTTCTAGAACTAAATGTATACTTACGAGGAAACAATTGGGTACTTCTAGAACTACCTTACATGTATACTTACGAGGAAACAATTGGGTACTACTAGAACTACATGTATACTTAGGAGGAAACAATTAGGCAGTTCTAGAACTTCATGTATACTTACGAGGAAACAATTAGGTACTTCTAGAACTAAATGTATACTTACGAGGAAACAATTGGGTACTTCTAGAACTACCTTACATGTATACTTACGAGGAAACAATTGGGTACTTCTAGAACTACATGTATACTTAGGAGGAAACAATTAGGCAGTTCTAGAACTTCATGTATACTTACGAGGAAACAATTGGGTAGTTCTAGAACTACCTTACATGTATACTTACGAGGAAACAATTGGGTACTTCTAGAACTACATGTATACTTAGGAGGAAACAATTAGGCAGTTCTAGAACTTCATGTATACTTACGAGGAAACAATTGGGTAGTTCTAGAACTATTTCCCTCATGGCGACTTCACTGGTTTTACCTGTTATTGAATTGCATCTGCAAAATAAATCAAATATAAAAGTCTGTTTTATTGTAAATTGCACATACTAAACAATCCATTTAAATAGCTTAATGACTAATATGCACAGGAAATACGTACCCCTTTCCATTTTTGAATATAATACCAGGTGACTTTGTAGGCAAAAACACTTCATTGAAGCTTGCACATGTTTGGTCCTCCCAGACTTGCAAATTATCTCTGATCAGTTTCTTAGCATTTGAAACTACAATCAGAAAAAAACAAGTACTCAGGATTGAAATAGTAAGAGATTGAAAAGTAATAGAAAGACGCCTCATTTTAGTCGACCTAGAGAAAGACTAAAAAGACGTCTTAATAATACCCCCTGTAGATTTCATTAGGGGGGTATGAGAAATGGTCTGTAGAGAGTTGCCGCTCTGGCATTCTGTGGTTTTGAGGTCCCAACTCTATATTCATGCTGAAAAGTTTAAAAAAAACACATTGTAATTTGAAGGAAACGATTGATCCTCAAAATACCACATATATCTTCGGGATTACTACCCATTATCCCAAAACAATTGTTTTGATTTTACTCTAATATTCACATGGAATATTCATCTTACCTACTTCTATAAATTACAACAATCGTGGGATTAATGCACAAAACAAAACTAGATGTGGTATTATGTAAGATGAAAAAAACAAAATCAAATAAAAAACAACTTACAAAAGAATCCCGGGGAGATGTAATAATTGATGGGGAATGTCCATGTTTCATTACTCTTAAAACGTCTCAACATTTTCCTTTTTACACGGTGTTTAGCTGGATCTTGTACTCTCTCATGCTTTTGTTTTATCTCCTTCATTTTATTTTCGATTGGTTTGTGTTCAACAAGTTCCTCTTCAACAACTTTCTCCTCTTGACTGTGCATCTCTACATTATTGATACTGCCCGATAATTTGATTTCTTTTGAAGATTCCAATAATTCGAGCAGTCGAATAAGTTTAATAATTTGTTCTCTCGATAGATCAATATCTCCGTCATAGTTCTCTTTCGATTCATTCGCAGCTTCAAGGAGTTCCTTGAGTTCTAAATCAGACAATGCGTTTAGGAAATCATCCAGATCAGATTCGCTAGAGTGGATGCTGTTGATAGCTTTTTCAAGAAGTTGACTGTATTCTTCTTTCGATTGTAAGTTTGTCTTCAGTGCTTTCTCAATGTCGTCTTCATCCTTAGCTAATGTTGCAGTTCCATTGACCATTTCTTCGCCAAATGTAATATTTGTGTATAAATTTGGCGTGGGTTCTACTTCACTTTTGCTGTCATCTTGCAGTTTCTCGGTGTTAATGGCTGCAATGATTGTTGCAAAATAAATCAAGTATAACATCTTCGAAAGTGTTGGAATCATGATACCCGTAAGCATCATACCCTCGTGCTTTCTGTTTTTGAGCTTCCCTGGGATAATGATGTACCGTTTGTCTGACAGTGTATTTTACATAAAACGCCCAAGCGTACGATTGAATAGAGTAGATTGTTTGTGTAATGTTGGTTTGTTTATATGGTATAAACCAGGTGGTTGACCTGAATCTTTACCTGACTTCTCCAGTTTTCAAAAATATCAGTTTCTTGAAATTGTGGGTTAGTCCAGTCAATGTTTAAAAACATCATAATGTATACTATCAAAGAAAAGCGTTCATAATTTTGAGAAAATTCACGTTTTGTTAAAATCACCTTGAAAATTGAAAAATGAGAATTGTTAATAAACTTGCACTTCATCACCGTGTTCATAGTATACACAATCTTATATCAATGTCACCGTGCCACTGAAAAGAGACAGTGAGGATTGAAAAAGTAATAGAAAGACACCTCATTTTCGTCGACCTAGAGAAAGACTATAATGTCGGAATGCATATGAACGTGGCAGAGATAGCTTTCATGAACTGAAGAATGTATTGTTTGAAACAGATCCTCGAATTCTAATGTTATGTATTTTGTTTATTCAAAAACAAATCCGTCCTATCATCCTTGTTCACATCATAAATTTAGATGGTAAATGTATGTTTCAAACAGTCCATTCAAAGTGTATGATTTGGAACGCTGAGAAACATTTAATGGCGTCAGGATGTTGGTTCTATTGACTAAGTTCATGAAAAGATTGATGACAAAATTCATGAAATAAAATGTATAACAACAACAACAATTATAATTGAATGTTGCGAAATGAGAAGTAAATATATCCCAACGATTGAGTTCAGAATTTAAAGACTAATGTTTATTGAGCCTTGAACTACTCATCAGAATTGACATTTGAATGAATCTAGTCATGAAACTCCGTAAAGTACATCGAATTGGCCGACAGAACTCTGATTTGAATCCAAGAACCATAGTTGCAACCCCTACAGAGGAAAGACAGGTGTATTTATCATGGCTTTTTTATTCATAGCTAATTTCTTCATCACTTTAGTGGGATTTCAATTTTTTTCACTTTGAGAGATCACAATGTTTTTCGTGAAAATATTATAGAATCTTACAATTTATCGGTCAAGTTCAAACATGAAATTCAGATCCACTTCTTACGTGTTAAATTCAACTCAACCCCCCTTATATGTACCTGATACTTTCCTGTTTAAATGCCATTACGAGAAGTAAATAAAACTTGCATGATAGCCAGGATGCTACATTGGCATGTGAAGTAAAAGACATGGATAACAGAGGCGTAGCTAAGCCATTTATCAGTCCAATTATCTTTTTCTTTCGTTGAACGTGTCGTTTCGAACTGCTACTACTTTACTTTGTTCGTGGCATGTAAATGAATGCAGGTATACGTGCGAAGTTGTATCAAAGAGATATCTATACGCAGTGTCTGAAGCTGGCTCAATACCGCTGTATCACGTTTTTAGACGATACAGGGTGTCAAATGGCGTTGTGCCCCCATCCGCAACATTGACTAGGAGAGGTACACAAATATACTATATACCGTTGGAAAGAGCATTTTTAAATGTTTTGTCGTGTGAAAAGATGAAGATGTATGATAGAAAATAAGACATATTTCTGAAATAACTTTTAAAATTGAGTATGACCATCTCTTTTAGAGGTTAATTTGCAGAGCATCTTTCGAATATCTGTTCTCTGTAGTTTCAGCTTCCATAAGTTGCTCTTAATCCATTTATATGGACCCCATGTGTCCTGCAACTTTCAAGTTAGTGCTGTTGCCCGTTTATACATCAATGATTGAATACCAAAAAGTCTATGGAAGATTTCTTCAAAATCAATAAAAATAGCACTATACTAGTACATTTCAAATGCGTGTGAAAATATGTAGCAATATGTGACATTGCTCATCTATGTTTTTAAAGGTAGAAAATTGGTCTGACATCTGGAAACTTGAATTTAAGCCAGAAAAAAGCAAAGAGTTGATTTTTTCTAAAAATAATAATGCAAATAATTATCCTCCAATTATGTTAAATGGCCACGCAATCACAAGAACTGACACCCACAAACATCTTGGCTACTACTTTGACAATAAGCTATGTGGATCAGTTCACATCAACTATTTAGCCTCTAAGATCCAGACAGCACTTAATCCAATGAAAGCTCTGAAAGGAAGACTGGAGTCCAAACATCTCAATATCATGTATAATGCCTATATCCAGTCACTCTTTGACTACTGTGATGTTCTATATGATGGTGCAAGCCAAATTGACCTAAAAAAGCTTAGTAGTTTACAGTACCAAGCTGGTCTAATTGTGTCTGGAGCTCTGTCAGGATCAAGTGCCTGTAAAGTATTCAAAATTTTAAATTGGTCTTGCTTACTTGATCGTAGAAATTTTCATTTTAAGAGTCTTATGTATAAAGTCGACAATGCCCTCATTCCATCATATATAACAGACATATTCATTCCTTATAAAAGAGTCAATATTAGAAATACGCGTTTTAACAGAGACTATATCATGCCTATTAATTATCCCAGAAAATCACCAATATACAAGATGGTCGAGATATGGAACAATGTACAACGTGATCAGCCTTATCTGAAGTCCCTTCCTTCATTGGCCTCCTTTAAAAGGAGACTAAAAATCGAAATGTTCCCTGGGATTATATCTACTGTGTCCCTTAATATACTAAATCGCAGGCAAGAGATGTACCTCAACAGAGCCAGAGTCGACCTTATTTTGAAGACCCAATTGATATCTCACAACTGGAATAATGTTGACTCCCCAAACTGTGAGTGTGGGTCCCCTGAGACCTTTAGACATTTATTTTTTAGCTGCCCCATGAGAATGAATAAACTCCATCAATTCAATGAAGCCATTGAGTTAATTGTGGATGATATATCACGTTATAAAACCCAACAGGATAAAATTGATTTATATCTCTTTGGTGATCCCGAACTCACCAATGATAAATTAGACAAACTATTTCAGTTGACAGCAACATTTCTTTTAGAAAACTGTTAATGGTTGTGTATGGTCGTACATAATCTGACTACCTTAGACCCCACTTACTCAACCCCTATGTGTAATTGGTCGCCCCATCTATGTTGCAGCAGGTCCCCGTCAGTACACTTCATTTATAACATGCCACATCTAAACAGTGGGTGTGTTTTATTTTTCTTGAATTTTTCGTATATTTATATGTAACATTGTAATTGAAAGCGGACATAAAATGCCAGAAGGCGATTTGCCGCATGATTGTGTACTATGCCATGAAAAATATATCAATGAAATAAACCTATTGTTTAAAAAAAAAAATGTTTTTATCCAGAATTGAATGCAATTTGCCAATGACATATGTAGAATTAGTTCAACGTCGTTAAACTCAATAACGGCGTTCTTTATTATTAGGAATTTTCTTGGGGCCATTATTGAGTTTAACCTCCTTACTATTCTTTCCTTTGATGCAAGTTCTGAATCCATCGAAACCATTTTTCCGCGATAACGTGCAACTGATACTTGACAATAATATAAAAACACATAACATCAAGCGATTTAACACAATATTATTGTGTTGAATGTTCATTTATACGAGTAAAATGAGGCTACACTTACCAATCTCTAAAGTGACATTTCCGCATGTCTGTCATTGTGTCTGTTCGTCTGAGTGTCCCGGATCGTAAAATTAAACTACCAGCGAAACGAAATTGTTGTCAAATAGATTGATAATTATTATCGCGATTACTCGGGATAAAAAGATCAATTTTGAGGATAACAGGTATCAATTTGATTAATTTATATAGCGCGTATATACACGCAAAATAGTTATTAATTGCAAACCAACTGTTCGTTAATGCAGTGCCGTGATGACGGTTAATTCCTGAAACGATTCGCAATTTCGATGTTATTTTCGTAATTATGCATCAATAGGGTCTAAGGGGGATACGGGACGGGGTGTATGTGTTTATAAGGTATGTATGCATGCTTGAATCACATTCTTTGTGTATATACTATTGCCATGTTTTCAGGGTTCAATTAGTTCCGCTTGTCGAAACCTGCTGAACGATTAAATTAACGCATCAAAGGCAAAATGGTCATGGAGGTTAGACCTAGCCGGGCCATAACACATGTCAGATAAGAAACGAGGCCCGGGCTAGGTCTAGTGTTGTTGGACTAATGTAGAATGTACAGGAATGTCCAAGTTTATGCTGTGGAAGGGGGCGCAACGCAGCGGATTCATACAGGATTCGCGGTTTAGATAGTTTACAAATGAATCCTGCCTCCAGGATTCAAGCAGGATTCATATGTAAGATAGCTTACACATGAATCCAGCATTAAGGATTCGTGCAGAAATCATATAGAAGCTAGTTTATACATAAATCCTGTAGCCAGGATTCAAGCAGGATTCATATGTAAGATAGTTTACAAATGAATCCAGCCTTCAGGATTCGCACTGGATTCATACAAAAGGTAGTTTACAAATGAGTCCTGTAACCAGGATTCAAGCAGGGTGCATAATGTAAGATAGTTTACAAATGAATCCAGCCTTCAGGATTCGTGCAGGATTCATATGTAAGGTAGTTTACAAATGAATCCAACCTTCAGGATTCGTACAGGATTCATATGTAAGGTAGTTTACAAATGAATCCAGCCTTCAGGATTCGCACTGGATTCATACAAAAGGTAGTTTACAAATGAGTCATGTAGCCAGGATTCAAGCAGGGTCCATATGTAAGGTAGTTTACAAATGAATCCAGCCTTCAGGATTCGCACTGGATTCATACAAAAGGTAGTTTACAAATGAGTCCTGTAGCCAGGATTCAAGCAGGGTCCATATGTAAGATAGTTTACAAATGAATCCAGCCTTCAGGATTCGTGCAGGATTCATATAGAGGGTAGTTAACAAATGGATCCTGTAGCCAGGATTCTAGCCTTGCCCAAGTCGGTATTTTTTTACTTATCTGATCTTGAATTATTACCGCCTTGTACAATCCAATACACCTGCGCTGATATTATGCAGAGTTATTCAACGGTTTCGAGATTTCCATAATACCTACGCTATCAGGGGTATCGCGAAACCTTATTGATTAACATATATACGCGTGGACACGACGTGTGACTTCAGGCTGATTGACCAATCAAAACGTTATCAGGTTGACCTGCATAAGCAAAGCAATCTTCCCGATTTGAAATTCAATGATCTGATCGATCGTTTCTTTAGAGTAACAATATATTATGTAATTAAATGTACAGGGTGTTAAAAAAAAACGCAACCCAAAGAAATCGCTATATCTTAGAAAATACTTATCCAATTGCACTCATTTTTTCAGGAAAGAAAGGAGAGACTGTGCATGTAGAGGTCCTGTAGTTATTTACTTGTAAAACATGAAGCCTTAGACACCTGCTCAAAATACATTACTATTAGAAAGATACAAAAAACGCAGTCAAAGGTGACTGCCACAGCAATAAAACTGAATAACTTTTTACCATAGTGTTTTGGCACTTCAGATTTGGCACAAATTATTCTCATTCAATGTGTGGTGAATTTGTGGAGTTTCATCAAAATCACTCCAGGGACTTTAGAGTCATGGTCAAAATGCCTTCTTAAGTCTGCCTGAACCAGGGCGTTTGACTGCGTTTTGAATGCATTTCGACCATAACTGTAAAGTCCAAGGAGTGATTTTGATTTCACTCTACAGATTTACCATACTTTGAATGAAGATGATTTGTGCCAAATTTGAAGAGCTAAAACACTATAATTAGAAAGTTATTCGGTTTTATTGCTGTGGCAGTCACCCCCTGTGTTTTTCGTATCTTTCCAATTCTAATATCTTTTGAGCAGGTGTCTAAGGCATCATGTTTTATAACTAACCAACTACATGAGCTATACATACACAGTCTCTTCTTTCTTTCTTGAAAAAATGAACATGATTGCATTATTATTTTCCAAGATATAGCGATTTCTTTGGGTTGCGTTTTTTTGAACACCCTGTACATAGGGAATGTAAGAGTCATTAATATAAATTAAATCATGCAATAGATTTAAAACTGATTTCGCGATGAAAATGCAAGACCGAGTCCAATGTAGCGGGTCATGTAGTCGATCAGTGATTGAATCTCAGCTACATGTTCATTTGAATTCAGCGATCGTTTCAACGGTTATTGTTGAAATCTTCTCACCTCCGGTTACCGATCGATGCTCCGGCATCCACTAAACTCTGATTGATATTTATCTGATAAAATATTTGTATTTTCATGATGAATTCATGCAAGATTTGTCCGTGAAAAGTCCCGGCGAAAAGTAAAAAGTGTACTTGTTTTTGACCGCGCATAATAATGAGCTAACGCTGCAGGGCCGTCGTTGATTGGTCAAATTTTACCGACATAAACATTGAGTCGGTAAAGCACGTGGCTTTCTCTTTGGTACAAGGCGGTCATAATAGAAATCAAGATAGTAAAAGAGACCGACTTGGGCAAGGCTACCAGGATTCAAGCACAAATGAATCCAGCCTTCAGGATTCGTACAGGATTCATATAGAAGGTAGTTTACCTGTAAGCAGGATTCGTATGTATATTTAAGACATTGATTGATATGGATCATTATAAACATTTTAAAAATATCACAATATAGAATAATCGTGGATATGAGATCGACTAAAAAACTGATACCCCCTTCTGAATTTATGTCGTGTTCTGCGAGTCGATGGATTCGAGAGAACCCCCTCCCCCTTGGCCAAAATAAATTCAAAATCATGCAGTATTTCACCATTCTTAGCACTTTCCAAGGGATTTGGGCCATTTTTGGACCAAAATTATCAAAAATTGAACCCCTGGAATTTTTCAAAAAGTGAACCCCCCTTGGCATTTTACATCTACACTCCCCTCCATAAGTTTGGCAACATTAGCTCCCCCATTGAACTACGTGTTAAAGCCACTTTTACGTTTGAATTCTTATTTACTTAACCTGCGATGAAATAACTTATAATATTGAAACGTAACTTGACTTTATTTCCAATACCTCCAAATTTTCGCAATTTTTTCATCAAGTACAATAGGTTGAAAAGTGATGATAAATTTGATGAATTTTTGAAAATCGTCATTCCCATGTAAACCAATGGAAAATAGTGGGTTCGGGGCAAATCAGAAATCCGGATATCTATTCAGTATAGTAAAAGATTCAGCAAAAAATTGAATTGTCTAACTTTTTTGTACACTAAGTATTTAGTTTACTTGATAATTTAGTTACAGAGCTTCAAAGTCATTTTTGAAAATCATTTTTCGCTTCCTGTGTTGTTTCAATGGGGATGGTTTTTTGAAAAATAATTTTGACTTTAAAGACCTATAACTTTGTTGAACATGAAGAGACTTATCAATTTCTTGTTAAAAAAAGTTAGCAAATTCAATTTCCCACCTAACTTGTATTTTTTGCAAGGACTCGGATGAATGGATATTCTGTCATATGACTTGCGGCAAACCTACCATTTCCTATTGGTTAACATGGGAATGTCGATTTTCAAAAATTCATCAAATCTATCATCAATTTTCGACCTATTCTAATTAAGGAAAAAATTGAGAAAATTTGGAGGTATTGGAATAAAGTAAAATTACGTTTCCATCAATACTATAAGTATTTTCATTGCAGGATAACGGCGCACTATACTTAATTTAGAAGAAAAAATAAAAAATAATTATTGAAACATGTTACTCACGCACTCCCTCAAATATGACACAAAGTTTGATTTGCTTGAATATTGATTGAAGTAAGAAAAAAATAACTCACATAGAAAAAAGCATTTGAAGTTCAGAGATAATTGGACATGCAGGCGCATGTTAAACAAAGTGCATGTGGTATGACTTTCCCATTGTTTTGCCGTTTTACTACTTGCCACAATCAACCTCACTGCCAGTATATCAAACCAGGCCCATTTCCATTAAACTTGGCCAAACTACTATCAGGTGGATGTCCTTCAAAAATCAAGTTGGCATGGTTACCAAAGCCTATTAGTTGCCATGGCAACCGTAGTAATGGGGTAAAGAATGAGAGCAAAAAAGCACCAAAAACCACCATAATGGCACTAATTTATAAAATATTTCTAGACATACAAATTTACTTAAACTTTGATATCATCTAAGACACTTCTAGACAACAAAAATGTCAAAAATCGGTGGTAGGTTTACCACTTCGATTTTTAGGCTTGGTCAAAGTAAAACTATGGGCTTTCAATTAGAAGTGTAGGCAACTTCCCATATTTCATGCATAAGCATTGCCTTGGTTTTCAAAATTGGAGAATGTACACATTCCAAGAAAATCTTATTTTGTACTTTATATTGATGATTTAAAGAAATAAATCAAAAACAAAAACATGATTATCTCCATACATGTTGATAATTTAATAAAAAATGGAATTCATAATAATTATGACAATACAGAAAGTGAACATTCTCCCACAAATTATGTTTTTATTGGAATGTGTTCTTGAATAATTACCCACAGTGCAATACTCGAAGAGAACATCTTGATTCCTTTTATTCTTATTGGTATTTTTTGTTTACTTTTACATGATATTTATATTTTATGCTTAAATCATATTGAAAATTTTTATTCACAATAATACTGAAACATACACATTTATCTTATTCTTTTTGAAATATTACCATAAAAGGGTAGCATGGCATTGCTCATTTTGAAGGCCTCACGTTATTACAGAGAGTTGCATACCCTTCTAATTGAAACCCCGTGGTAAAACTAGGGAAAAAGCACTCATTTTCACTTTTGAATCACCTATTATCGCCCAAATGCCTATATTTTTTCAAGGTCAAGGTCGCCATGCTAAAAGTAGAATTACGAAGATAAATCTGCTCTTCAGACAATGCTTGATAGCTTTTCTTTACCACGGAACGAAGAGTCATCAAAACTTTGAAAAGGCCATTTTCGCACTACTTTTGGTGTAATAATTCCATTTTTAAATTGCTGTTGATTTAAAAGATGGCGACACTTATATAAAAATAAACGTATCATCATGGGCTTTCAACTCTAATTGAAAGCCCATGGTATCATGTAATACAAACAACTTTGCCATCTTTCAATGAGATTGATAAAAACTTGATAAAAAAGCTTGACAGATCAAAAATATATTTTTAAATAATTTATTGTAAGCTTTGATGTGGTCCATTTGAGCTGTTGTTGGTGTTAAATGAAAGATAAGGTTCTTATCAATACATTGGACATACTATGAAATTTTAATGTAAGTCTTTATTTTGCCCAAAAATGTTGAGAATTCCCAAAATGGGCCTTTAAGTAAATAAAAATATGTCTATGTCTTTAAATGTCATCAAAACTTTTTGCCAACACGTGAAAAGGCCATTTTCGCACAACTTTTGGTGTAATAATTCCATTTTTAAATTACTATTGATTTAAAAGATGGCGACACTTATATAAAAATAAATGTATCATGTAATACAAACAACTTTGCCATCTTTCAATGAAATTGATAAAAACTTGATAAAAAAGCTTGACAGGTCGAAAATATTTTTTAAATAATTTATTGTAAGCTTTGATGTGGTCCATTATATTTGAGCTGTTGTTGGTGTCAAATGAAAGATAAGGTTCAAATACATTGGACATACTATGAAATTTAAATGTAAGTCTTTATTTTGCCCAAAAATGTTGAGAATTCCCAAAGTGGGCCTTTAAGTAAATAAAAATTCAAAGGTAAAGAGGCTTTAACACGTAGTTCAATGGGGGAGCCAAGGTTGCCAAACTTATGGAGGGGAGTGTACATCAATATTCTGTTAATTGCTAATAAGCCCATACAATTGTTTTGTTTTTTCAATTTCAATTTATCTATGTTTCCTGAGTATAAGTACATGTACAAATATATAGCATTGTTAAAATAACATTGGCGGCAAAGTATAAGATAAAAAGATAATACAGGAATATATGCACAAAACAAATTAATAGTAGTATTTTCTGTTTAAAAAAATATTTACAACATCTTTACTTAAATACGTAGTTAACTAATATTCATTAGTCGTGTTATTTGGTTTTGACTTACTCCATTTGCTCAACTTTTTATTCGGAAATATTACCAACATTTGAAAATACAATCATGTGGTTTAAAAAAGTTAGGTGAATTTAGTTTTGTAAATGTTTAACATTGTAATTAATCATACGCATGGGTTTGCAACCAGGATACCAATATCCACTGGATATTGTTCCAGGTTTATACTATTGATTTAAAAGATGGCGACACTTATATAAAAATAAATGTATCATGTAATACAAACAACTTTGCCATCTTTCAATGAAATTGATAAAAACTTGATAAAAAAGCTTGACAGGTCGAAAATATTTTTTAAATAATTTATTGTAAGCTTTGATGTGGTCCATTATATTTGAGCTGTTGTTGTTGACAAACATTCTTACTTCAATGCACACTACTCTGAAGGCTACACAAGTTTCATTGGATGCTTTACAACGTACAAATGATGCCCTTCAGTCCACTAACACAGATCTAGTGAAGCAGCTTGCTTCTAAGACAGCTGACTGTATTGAACTTAACAAGGAAAACATGCAGCTCCGTAACCGTTTACTTGTTGCAGATCAGCCTTCAACGAAACAGGACGCACGCTGCCAGAAATCTCTACTCATTGGTTCGTCCATTGTGAGAGATGTTGATGAGACCAGATTATTAGACACTGAAGTGATAAGTATCAGCGGTGGCAAAATTGCTGATGCTAACCGTACAATTGCCGAAAAATCTGGTTCCTATAAATCTATCATACTACAAGTAGGAAGCAACGATTGTGCCAAATGTGAGGACCTGGATAAAATAGCTGAGGACTACAAAATGCTTGTAAAGGGCGCTAAACAACGCACCAACAATGTCATCATATCCAGTATTACACCACGTACAGACAATGACACTGCCCAAGCAACAATCGATCTAATAAATGCAGGTCTAGTAACAATTGCCGAGGACGAGAATTGTACCTTCGTAAATAATGACCTTGATTTCAAGCTCCGTGATGGGACTGTTAATGCAGGATACCTGCTGCCAGATGGACTTCATTTGTCTGATGCAGGGACAAATCGTCTTGGGGTTAATCTCAAGCTTAACACTAACTTGAAATCTGTCGCTAAGCCTAGGAATAGGAGGAGGAATAAGCCAAAGCACAATGCCACCAACAAATGCTATAGCCCCTAATACTCCCACACCTACGCACATGACCCAATCTGACATTAATGTACCCTTACCAGCAGCACCCCAACGTATGGTTTCTATTAACATTCCTCGCCCCACTCAGTGGAGGCAAGCTAAGTCCAACAAGAACAGAAATTCTGGTCAAGCTTCTAATGGCAACAATATTAATCACAGCAATAATCAGCAATCTAACGATCTGCGGGGGCAAGCATGTCAAAAATGTGGAATGACAGGTCATTTGACCCGAACATGTTGGCACCCCCAGACTGTGAGATGCTACACTTGTAATGGCCTGGGTCATAAATCAGTAATATGCCATAATTCCTTCAGTGCTTTGGACAATGATGTAGATGGTAACAATTACTAGGTCACTGGCAAAGTGATTGCCAGCACCCAATGCAAAAATCCATCTCAACCAAGCAGCCACATGCATAAAAAGATACGACGTGGTAATAGAAAACACCACTCTAATAATGTTAGGATGTGTTTCAATAATGTACAAAATCTAGGGCAGGCCAAGCAGGTCCAATTAGCTAAGCTTTTAGAAACTGAAGGTTTTACGATTATGGGGGTAACAGAAACCTGGTTCAATGAAAGCCGCGATATTTCAATCCTACCTAATAACTATGAATTTTTGCCAAAAGACCGGAAAAATAAACTTGGAGGTGGAGTAGGTTTTTTCATCAAAAAGAACGTACGGATATTGAACGATAATCTTCTTGATTCTAGGTCTGATGATCTCGAGAGATATTGGGTAAAGGTGAAGATTAAAACGGTGATTTTCAATCTCTGTGTAGTATATTTTCCCCAGGATGGCATTGACACTGAAAAAAGTCAAGCGCTTTGTGATGAGTTGATTAATAACTTTGCAGAATTATCAAATGACTCTGAATATACTATTCTTATGGGTGACTGTAATGGGAAAATATCTAAATTCAGGGAGAATGGCAAAACAAGTTTTAATGGTGATCTTATTGAGCATATGTGTGAAGTGACAAACTCTTCCATATTAAACACTATGAATATTTGCCAAGGAAAAATAACATGGAAAAGAAATAATCTTCAATCAACAATCGACTATGTCATAAGTAATGAAACTGCTTCTTCACAATGTAAAAGTATGATCGTCGATGAAGATGGCCACTTCAGTATTGGCAGTGACCATTCTATGATTTTAACTACTTTTTCTACAGGGTGTTCAAATAATATTTATCCACCCCTTGCCAAAATAGAATCCAAGACCTATGTAAAATGGGATATAACTGATGATACAGACTGGGAAAGTTTCAATGTAAAGGTAAGTGATGTTTTTAAATCATGGAATTCAAACAATTTTACCGACGCTGAATCCATGTGGAGTCAGTGGAAACAACTTTTACTAAACACAGCTGAGAATGAAATTGGGTCTAAAAATGTATCACACCACTGTAGATCTTTCTGGGATAAGGAAATTAATAATTTGATCAAGAATAGGCAAGAAGCCAACAGGTTTTTTCGATTTTGGGAAAAGTCTGGGGTGGGGGATCCTAGTTATTTGGAAGAGCTATGGAACATATATATTGAGCGTAAACAGAAAGTTCAGCATAAAATCAAAGAAAAAATTGTCAATAACCACATTAAAAACATGACTAGAAATGCTATGAAGAAGTCAAAAAGTTCAAAATCATACTGGAAATCTTTAAAGATGTTTAATAAAAAGGCAGAATATCCAATCCAAATTAAAAACCCTTCCGATCCAACTCAATTGATCACAGATCCAAAAGTAGTGTGTGAAACATTAAAGACATATTGGGGCAATTTAGGTAATACTCACAGGAATAAAGATTCAAATTTCATTGATATAAATGATAAAATGAAACAACTACATGAAGAATGTAAGACGGAAGGTCTGGATACATTCTCTATTACTAAAGTGAGACTAAATGAATGTTTGAAAAGTCTTAAAAATGGTAAAATGTGTGGTACCGATGGTATTATGAATGAGTTTTTAAAATATGGCGGGCAGATTTTATGCGATTCGTTACTCGATATGTTTCAATTTTTTACATACACAGAGTCTTTCCCTTCTGAATGGAAAGAGGGTATCCTAAAGCCCTTACATAAGGATGGGGACACTGAAATTTTGGATAATTATCGTGGTATAACAGTCACTTCTAATGTGTATAAGGTATATGCTTGATAAAGAGATTCGACATTTCATTGAACGCGAGAATATACTCGGAAACCTTCAAGGAGGCTTTCGTGAAAAGCGCCGTCTTGAAGATAATATATTTATTCTTAAGGGCCTCTGTTGTCTAAGGAAAAGTACAGGAAAGAAAACATTTCTTGCTTTCCTTGACATTTCCAAGGCATTTGATGTTTTAGATCATAATATTTTATTTTCACATCTTTGGGACAAAGGAATTCAGGGCAAATCATGGAGAATTTTACGTAAACTATATGAATGTCCTAAAAATAAAGTCTCATTTGGCGGTTTTGAAACTGACTTTTATGACAGTAAATACGGTCTAAAGCAAGGCTGTAACATGTCCCCCACGTTATTTTCGATAGTTATCACAGATTTAATTGACATGCTCTCATCAAAGAAACAGGGTATAAACTATGAAAACGAATATATTCCTTCACTGTTGTTTGCAGATGAAAATGAATTACAAGATATGCTTAATACCGCAGCTGAATTTGGAATTAAATGGGGCTTGAACTTCAATCAAAAAAAGTCAAAAGTCATGATCATTGGTAAAAGAACAGATTCTTCGAAAAATTGGTCACTAGGGTCAGCCCATATCAATGAAGTTCGGGAATATAAATATCTTGGTACATATGTTGATAAATTGTTCAATGACACTTTTCATGTAAAGGATTATCTGTCAAAAAAAGCTTCCAAAATGACTGGTTACATGAGGTATACATTAGCCAAGCATAACAATGTTAACAGGCTTAATTTTGGACAAAGTATTTACAGAACCATGGTTCTCCCAGCTCTGACACATGGCTGTGGTGTCTGGCTGGTCAATAAAACTAGTAAGCAAGTCCTTAAGTCAGCTCAATATAACCTTGCTAGAGCACTCCTACAACTTCGATGTAAACCAGCCACAAATGCCCTTTTTGGTGACTTGGGCTGGACACCAATCATGCGTGAAATTGAAGACAAACAAATTGAATATTTCACATACCTCAAGATGAACACTCGAAACAGCCTTTTAGATGTAGTTTTTCAAAGTATGCTTAAATGTCATAATCAAGGCAAAATATTATCTTGGAAATATATGAATAATGTGCATGATATTTTAATGGACAGGGGTCTTGAAGGTGTTATGTTCCGAAATGATGTGGATTGGGTCCATTCATATAAGGTCATTTCAGATGATCAAGATATCTTTAATTTTCAAGAAAAGATTGGAACCCAGTCTTCACTTAGTTTTTATAAGGATGTCAAACAACACCCTGGTATAGAGCTATATATGAACAATAAAAATGATTTTTACCCCACCCAGCTTAAATTTAGAGCCAGGACTGGCTGTTTTATGTTACAGGCTGATTTAGAAAGATGGGGCAAGGGAACTGGCATTTGTCTATTATGCAATGATGAATGTAGGGATGACCTACGTCACAGATTGCTTAGATGTCATTTTTTCAATCCTGAACGCCTTGCCCTATTCAATGATTTTAAATCAACTCTTCCATCTCCTGTATGGAATGAATTTTTAACTTTACCAGAAGACTCAAAACTACATTGGCTGCTTGGTAATGATGTATTTTTGAATTATGGGCATGAAATTGGTTTTATATTTGATTCTCTTACCAAGAGATTTTTAAACAAAGTTTACATTAAATTGAAAGATTGATTGTAAAATGTTTTATATATGTATAGCACCCTTTTGAGGTGTGCCACCGTTATAAAGGTGAATAAAATAATAATAATAATACCACTTTTTGCAGAGAGTATGGACGGGAATTTTAGATTATGGTAGATACAATATTGAAGACAAATGGCGTAGAATCTATTAAATATGATTTTAATCTCCCTTTATCCCATTAATAACACAACTGAAATAATCGAATAAATTTTCTCAAGCCCATGTGCTCGGAGTACTAAACTTGAAATTCCTTACGTTAATTCGAGGAAAGTTTCTAATGATGCATTAATGAACCACGATCAAGTCATCCCTTGCAAAAATTAAAACCAAAACAATATAAACAAAATTATGTCTAACATTAAAAGAACAATAAACAAAATTGAATAATGTAACCGGACGAAACGGGGAAGGGAAAGGGACTTTTAAACAGAGCCTAATAAATCAAATACAACATGCAACACATATGCAACACGACGAGTGATGTAAAATATAACAATATGTACAAGGTTTATTTATTTAAAATCAACATAGAGAACATAATGATCAAAATAGTAATATTGCACAGAGAGAAAGAACAATGGTATTTATGATGCTTTTAATTTAATCTATTACTCTAGATATGTAAATGTCTTTATAAAATGTCTTTCAAAATACTACTACAGAAATGTCTATTTAAAATGTCTATAAAAGATAATAAAAGCTATGCGAGACGATAAGAGGCAACCGGTTGTGGGACTGGCCCTTGAAGTCGTCGTGGACTTGATCACGATGATAGGGGACTTGCATAGAGTGTAGGTTCTCGACTTTCGGAGACTGGCTGCTCTTGATGGGCTTGGCTGACTGTGTAGTCTCAACTCCCGAGGTGACGCTATTCCCTCAGCGAATTCCAGCCGTTACGGCACCCCAATGGACTGCTGTAGATTCACAGCTTACGAATCCTTATCTTGGGTTGCTCATTGCTGCATATTGCTGTTGATGAAGTCTGTAAGCCCAAGTAACGCCCAGTCCAGAAACAGGAATGTTGTTCACCTAGAAAATGTGCATAGCCCTACCTTGTCGTGCCTCCCGATATCGTCTGACGACCTACAACGCTGGCGATCTAACATTCGATTCAATCGTGAGTTGATACAAAATCAACCAATCAGATTATAGATAAATATTTCCAACTCGCGTTCGAATTGCGTTTTCCGTCGTGGTTTGCTTCTTCGAAGTTACAAAACCGGTTTATTTTCTATTAGTCTACCACACAGGATTCATATGTAAAGTGTTTCTCCATTTTTGTGTTTCAGTGAAATAGACTTTAAAATATCATACTACCGCAACTGCGAAGGCTTTATGTATTAATAATTTCGTTAAGCAGACCGTTACAATAATATCAAATTCAGTCAATTTTTCTTTTATATCTCTTGAACTGAAAAAAACTTTTAAATGTTTATCTTTACATTAAGTTACTACTGAGACAAGGCATCATGAGTCGATTTAGAAAAGCGAAAGGGCAAAACCAATTAAACACTGTGTCAGTGTGCGTTCTACTATCTGTTGCCTAAAATTAGTCCGACGTATTTATATTAAAACGTCTAATAGACATGCATTTTAATTTCACAATTACTGATGATTACTGTATACCTCGCGAAAACGCGAAAATTAGATGTGAAATATAAGTGTATTATATGGCATGCAAAAATGAGTTTTAATAAAATTCCTGATGATGATTTATTTCTCCACGATGAGAAAGAATTCCTATCAAATTTATTATCATAAACTCATCTGCTTATTTGCATTGAAAACTAAGTGACTTGAACCTAGTATATAAACCAAATGGAGGAATAACACTTAATAACACTATATACGATAGTATATATTTGTATTTCAGATGCGTAATAATCAGTTTTTCACAACATTATGACGATATAAACTTCAGTTATCATAAAAATTGCATGTAAAGAGCCTGGTGATATTTATATTATATTGGTTTTAATGACGTGAAGAAAGATTGCTTTATGTACATTCTGTAATAGGTTTTGTTGCACCGAAGGACCGAACAAAACGTTTGTGTCAATTGGAAACGAAATGATGATAATTCTGAAATCAAACAACGTTTTTGTTGGAAAAGGCAAGAGAACTGGCTTCAAACTTGAATATTCTTCTATTGAAGGTATGTTTTTGTATTTCAAATAAATTTACCTTTATAATTATATTCGAATGGTCAATAAACTCTTTTCTCAGCATTTATACACGTGGGGCAAGGATTTCCTTTTCAGATAAATGTGTGAGGGGGTGGCAGCGCTTCCTGAATCCCAATGAGACGTACTTTCGCTTAAACTTACTTGTAATGAACTATATTAAGAGATCTTACTGGGCTGTTCGACTGATGTGTTATTTAATTGAGATGAATCAACATATGAAAACTATGTCATAACTGTAGCGCAAAAACTTGCATATGTTCAGTCTCTTTTAAAAATTATGATATGTAAATACTCTTCTTCTTTTTATTCTATGTATTTTCCATGTATTTATAATTGGATCTGATATTTTATATGTAAAATTGTTTTTTGCTCCGTATCTCTGATAATAAAGATACAATAAACAATAATATTACTCTCAAATAAATTTATAATGAATCAGTCAAGCAGAGTCAGTCAAGCAGAGTTTTCAAAAACAGTACTGTATTACGCTGCTCAAAACAGGTGATGCTAGAATAGCACTGTACATTGCTGTACAGCGCAGTACACTAACTGCACTGTTCGGTACTGATTACAGCGCTGCAAGATGATGTTGCGGTTTGGGGATGTATGTAGGTCCTAAATGGAGCCTATGCACTCTCCCAAATGGACAATAATGGTGCGCCAGTATATAAAAAGAGGACCTCCTCTAATGGGGATGTAACATTAAGCATGATCGGTATAAATAAATGGCAGTTTAAGTCTGATTCCCACACTTTGGTATCACCTTTTATTACGACTGAAACAAATCCAGCAAAAATACCGAATACGTGGTTAATTGGCAATAAGAAAATAAAAATTGAGTGTTATTTTGGTGAGTGTAACATTATGCAGGACATATCAACATTTTTGTGCTGTTAATTTTATTTCAGGTCCAACTTTTAATGTCACCAATGACCTTTTCAAGGTCAACAAAGGTTAAGAAAAGGTCAAAAAGGTATTTTTCAACTTGCTTCAAATTGACCCGATTTTTTCAAAATCTACAAGTTCTCAGAAGTTCAAATCTTACTTTACTTAAATTGAGATTTCACTTTCAATGACCTTCATGACAATTTTTGTTTAAAGGGGCTCGATGGTTATGGCTTATATAAAATACAGCTAAATCAAAAATAATTCAGAATAAATGTAACTTAATAATTTTACACCATTAATAGATATTTAAACAAACCTTCATTTCTGTAAATATTAGAAAAATCACACTCATACCTATACTTGGAGAGCTTTTAAATTATAACAAGTGCTCGCGAGCAATGTTTTTAAAGCCAACACGAATTCTTTCAGGTACAATACCATGTGATTCTATTCTTATGACGGGGATCAAAAATTACCAATCACTTCGAAACGGGCTTTATTTCTTGGAAGGATCATTATTTAACGGGCGTCCCGTCTACACCCACGAGACTGGAAAACACTTTATGTATTACGGTATCTTTGGTGAAGGTATCAGGTACTGGTTCATTGGCCGAGACATGAAGGGCAGCGTGGGCGTGAGGGTCTCAGACACAGCTATGGTTCTCGAGAATATCATGGCCGACACGTGGGAACTGTTCAATGGAATCAATCTGCAATGGAAGACAGTCAAAACAGTTTCACCTGACTGCGTTAACCTGGGTGCGTACACATTTTACAATATAGGTACAATATTGAATTGTGTAAATCGAATTAAATGAATTCAAGTTTATGTCCGTAATGGGTTCAAAATTAATATCATTACCAGAGGAACAGTTGAGAGTAATGGCTGAATTTCAGAAAGTATTGAAATGGAGAAAATGCCCGCTTTGATATTTGTACTTGCAACAGAAACAATGACTTAGATATATAAATGATGGTATACAGTAGGTCTAAATGGATAAACTAAAATTAAATTTACATGAACTCGTTCTCAAATTATGATTGAAAAAGTAATGTAATTCAAAAGGACAAAAAAATATAAATGAAAATGTAATTAATTATATAACTTTAGAAAAGAATATCAATAAAATTTGGAGGCATTTTCATTATGGGGAAAAATAAATATTACAGTATGGCATAACCTCAACACGGACTCTACTATTAAGTAAAATGAAATATGGAAATAGAGAAAAGTATTTAGCAATTTCATAATTTCTTAATTCCATTTGCTGGTTAACGATTAAATAAATTGACGAAATAATTTTTGTTTCTATATATGAATGTAAACTATTCATTTTTACTTTTAGATATAACCCCATGTCAGAAACTATTCATCTCTGGTAGTGCTCTACAGAGATCCCGTCAGGGTGTTTATGTACTAAGAGCAAGGTCACTGAATTACCGTCCAGTTTATATGCACGAATCCGGAGACTCATTCCTGTATATACAGGTAAGTTCGAACGTAGATGGTTGGGCCATCGGTCCTGCTATAGGTGGATCTTCGTTTGGTGCTTACGTGCGGGACAGAGCAATACTTCCTTACGACGTTTCTTCAACATGGAAAATGTTTAATGGGTTCGGCTTCGTGGATGACTCAAAATGGACCGTGCTGTGTTTTAAAGGTAACTTTTTAAAACGACCAAAAATTATAGAAGTACATGGGCCAAAGCAAAAATAAAGCATACATGTCTAACCAGTCAAAAGAAAAAGACTAGCTATAGCTCTTCCAATTATTTCCTAAATTATGTTCAAATGCGTAAAGAATGACCATATCACCCGAGAAACAATATTACTATCCCAATTTAAACAACATCAACAACAACACCGTTGAACAAATCATTACTGAATTGATTGACATACCTAAACAGACGCTTTGGTAAATAATTGAATTTCCATTGAAAGTATTTCAGTTACAGTTACTTTGATCAATATGTAAATAGTCACGTGATTGCCATATTCAATTTTTAGCACCCACACCCTGTGCAAAGATCTTATTCGGGAGTAACCCTAGTCAGACTGCACGCCAAGGACTCTACTTTCTGGCACCTAAAACATTCAACCACCGTCCAATATATAAGCACGAATCTGGTGATGATTAAATATTCTACAGTGCCTCAAGTGGTATGTGGTTCATTGGAAGTTCAATTCGGACATCGTTTGTTGGAATATATAGAAATACCCGCTTGTTCACGCCACAAGCGATTGGTACACCGTGGTCCGTTTTTGCTGGCAGAACTTGGTCACTGGCACCAACGTTGAAAGCAAAATGCATAACAGGTAACGCCACACATTCAGGGGCATTGACCCCAACAGTTTTAAAATCCATTAACATTTCTACAATGGGCTGTTGATCAAAAGATCAAGGTTCAAAAGCGCTTCAAACTCGTGTGCCATCCACATCATGGAGCAATCGTCCAAGCACCATCCACATTATGCGGCTTTTAGACTCGAGCGCCATATACATTACATTGTGGCGCTCCCAGATACCAGCACCATTCACATTGTGGAGCTTTCCGAACCAAGCAACATCCACATTACGTTGCTTTCAAATATAGCACCATCCACATTATGGGGCTACTGATTTTCATTTGCCTTGAGGGTGAATTCAACTTTCATTCACATGTCGCAACACGACACGTTTCAAAAGCAAGAGAGTGTCACATTCACATGAGATGCCCATATGCCAACATGTTTGTATATCCTTGTATTAAGTGACAAATATTCATTATAACATACATACATAATATATTCATTTGTTTCTTTTAAACATGACTTTAATTATCAAGCAATATGGCATTTAGCAATCATTATTCTCAAATGAGTTGTTCTTACGCTCAATATATTTGAAAGGAGCGATAGCATCATTTTTAGGAGCCAATTCAAAAGCTGGTTTCAATGGGTTAAATGGCATATGTTTTCTCCAGACATTATTACCTTCCATTACCTTTATGTCCTGCGTAAATATTGTTGCATTTCTGTAAGACATTGGAACTTTAGATTTGATGTCCTTAATTATATCGGCATATGAAACATATCCTTGGGGATAACGTTTATGCTGATTGTTATGCACGGTCATGAGGGTATACCGTGCAACCTGACGATGAAAATAATAATAGGATTTCATTTGCAAATATTGTCCTGATGCCCACCAACTTTGTTTGTCATATTGTACATCTAGTGGCATTAAATGCTCAATAGCCTTATTATGGAATGCTACAAAAATCATATCAAAGAGTATCATTGGAACTCGCTCCGGGAGATTCCATTGTTTGCTATAATTATCAAGTTGACATTCGTCGGAAATAAGCAAAGGGTCACTCCATGAAAACATAGGCGCTCCAACTGCAGGTTGTGTTTCAAGCAGACAATCTTCAAATTGTCTCAGTATGGAAGTATTTGATTTCAGTTTATTAAGCACATTTCTACTCAAAATTCTTGGCAGCGTTGGTTTCAATATGATATCTTCATCAAGAAAAACGTAATACACATATTTTCCAAGATTTTTCTGCGCATATGTCCAAGCAAGGTTTCTTCCAGATGTCCAAGTTGTATTTGGACCATATATGTACTTAACATGGTCAAACTTCGAGTCTTTACAGGGCGCTTTATAACTCAATACTAGCACGTCCAAATTCTTTGGATCTCCCAACGTGTCCAACTGTACAAGATAGTCGCGTATGCATTGATAAGAATTCACAATATAAAGAAAGTTTTTCAGGAAATCATCACCTGCCGTCGATATGTGTGCTCTTCTAGGTGACGTGTCTGCTGAAAGCAAGGCTCTTATACAAGTCCCTATTGTTTTTACTGAAAATCCCCAATAAACTGACAAAGTCATCGTCAAAATCAAGAAAACTGGAACAGAGAAACTTCTCTCCCTCGACATATTTCCAAAACAGGACAATTTTGTCATTTTGACAAAAATAAATTCTTCTTTTATTCCTGCTTTTAATTAGTATTACTATTTGCATTTCTCACAGTCCTGTTTTCCTTGTCCAAATTATGTGAGCTCGAGCTTGGATCTGTTGAATTAGTTGTTAACGTACATTTGAACAACAGGATGTTGCGTATATACGTATTTATTAGTGAAGTAATTAAAATGCAGAGCCAGGGGGCACTTTTATATAAAAAAGACCAAGCAATGAATGCACAGGTATGATCAAATACAACAAGTCATATTAATTTTAGAAACAATTTAAACTGAGTCATTCATTAACTGTGACTTTGACTAATTGAATACAGTACTTTGTTACGGCGTAAACGCGATACAAAATATGCCATAATCCGCAACGAATACTGTACGCCCGGTATTATTCGCGAGATTTAATTTCGCAAATTTTGCGAAAACACGATTTCGCGGCTATTAAATTTCGCGAATTTCACAAGTTTGAAATTCATTACTATTATTTATCATTACTATTCCAGGAATTCTCGAGCTACTCGTGTGTAAATTAAGTTAGATGTACAGTAATTGCACTGATGTCATATTTGGATGAGATTTACAATAACTGGGATCTTTATCATCGGCAAGATGCATATCAACCTCTATTGCATCGTCATTTTTAATATTAAAGCAAAAGTGCGTGGCTCCCATAATAACTTTACCGAAATGCATCAGAGCCCCGGGTAAAAACAAATTCCCGGGGATTTAATTGGCAATTTCGCGACGATTATTTTTCGCGATTTTAACACCCTCGCGAAAAGCGCGAACAAGGCAAGAGGAAAGGGAAGTAAATATTACATAATGACATGTATAAATGTTTACTGACATGTAATCATGACTATTATATTGCTAATGCCATCTATAAATCATATAATATATATTTTTGATAACTCATACAAATACCATTTGTCAGTTGGCTCAGCTTTTATTTGCCGATGCCGTGTGGACATAAAAATCTGATAAAGAGGAATTTTCAAAATGACTACTCAATTCAAAATGGCCGGTAACGTAACGTCTCTATAACCAGGTGGGGGTCGATGAAACTGGTACTAATACCCTGGAAACAGGCCTTGCAACGTGGTGATAATTGAGAAGATTAAATAAACAATTTACGTGGGCCACGCTTGCCATCATTTTATGAATTGATGACTATCCTTATTTCACTCGGAGCCTTTATGCATGTTCTGTATTCTAGGTCGCACATCCTGTCGACGCCTTCTAGTCAGTGGTTTTGGCGGCACTAGTGCCCAATTCATTGGCCAGTATGCCATCACTGGAAGCGTCTTCAACTACAGAGCTTCATATAAGCATACGTCACGTCGCCTGTATATGTACTACAAATTTGGGTTCTGGCTTATTGGAACAATATTAAATGTTAGTAACAGTGCATCGGTAAAGTCAGCCACCATCGTTGAGTATCCAGAGAAAGCGATGACATGGGAGATATATTCGAATGGATGGAGGGTTCAGTCAACCGTTAGAGTGATTTGCTCATAATAGACAGCTGGGTAAGGCTCGGCAGTTTTCCACTATAGTGAGGTATAATATACCGTGAAACTGACAGTAATATGGAAAGATTAAAACACGCGGTTGGTGTTCGGCGTTCGGAAATCGGCATCAGTAATTACAAACTGTAGGTAGTGATATTTAGCATGTTATAAATACCTTATGTAAATTAAAAAGTAAGTACATATTTATATTTTGCAGAGATGTAAAGATGTAAAGCAGTTGCTACAACAAGTACAACAATGGTTACAGAGACAATTACTGACTTTTCTGACTGACTTGTCACATTTTTTCTATCGTAATTAAAAAAGCAATAATAGATTTGCCAGATGACTATATGTGCTGCAAAATACTGAAAATGCTAAATCATTTAATCATTTAAGAACTAATTCTTCACATTCATCGTTGGATACCTATTGGTCTACATTAAATACACACACAATTAAAGCAATGGTGAACTCATAGACAATGTATTCATCTTTTAATTTCAATTTCTGCAGACCGGACAGAATGGCATTTTCCCATCTGACTAACAAAGATACAGCCATCATTGATTCATTACCCCATGCAAGATATTGCCATCTTTCATCCTAAAAAGTTACACGTGCAAGATGACATTTACTTGTGACATCACTGGTTTATAAACATCAACAACATGGCAACGAGTACAGCGTTGTTATGCGTATCCATGCTCACTCTACAAAACTTGGCTGTGACGTCATAATACAAAGTCATATGAGCAAACGACTCGATAAAGAAGAATTATCAAAGCTCATCAAGAATGAACGATCTTGCACAGGTAGGCTTACTCATATAAGAACCTCTATATTTTGAACACCAGTTAACCAGTCTAAGCTGAATATATAACAAACAATTATTATTTATCCAAGATTATCCAAGTTCAATAATGTACATATATGTAATCTTGTGACGGTTATACCTCTAATTATTATAAATTAGGGTACTTATACGAACTTGTAGCAAACAGAAACATATCTAATTCGAATAAATCAATCGATAACATTAACCGATTTTATAATTGATTTGTAAAGAAAAAATGATACTGTAAGGTATAGTAAAATATAAAGAATGAATGTATATGAATGTTTAAATGTTCTTTGACATAGACAGGATCAAACATAAATATGCAAGGCAAATATATTTAGGCTACAAGAGCTTTATTACCAGCTTCCTCGCTACGTCCATGGAATTCGTTTTAATTGTCTTTTATTTAGTGCATAGCAAAACTACTGTCCTAAATTCAGTTTTATTACCCATAGGCCTACATTTATTTCTATTTATCAAAATGAGAGACACCTTATAAATTGGTGGCTCGCGACATCAGGTGTAGCAGTAAAAATATAATAGTATACTTTAACCCTACAATCACCAGACACCGGTATTACCTGTTTTGCATCAATGTATTCAATTTGATGTACATTGTAACACCCTGTATGCATATCTAAGCATTTCCTTCATAAAAACTTGGAATTGGAAATATCATTCTGTAGGACAAATCTTATCAAAATATAACTATTCCTTACATAACGAAACTACTAAACGACATGCACTAAGTGTGTATTGACCCCAGATGTGCCCTCGAATTGCCTGGTCTGATATTTGTTTTTACATCTACATCAATAATCCGCAAAAGGCTAATAAGCCCATTGAAAGCAGATATATAGTTTAACAGTGATATAATTTGAATAGAATACAATTTGAACCTTAACATTTAAAAATAGATCTATGGTTTACAACTCATTTTAAAATGTTCACTGAAATCATGAAACACTTCTCCACTTAAGGAGGCATCTTCCCCAAGGTCGATGCTCCCGTTCGTAGAAAAGTAGGCCATATTCAAAAATCATTTGTATAGAACAAAAACAAATTTTAAGAATGTCCCATAGACCTATTGCTAAAATACAACTGAGCTTAATTGTTAAGCTGCTTGCTGACAGAAGATTTAAAACTGGATAGGCTATCACTGTCTAAAATATCACTGGGTAGAGTGTTCCATTTTACTATTGTCCTTGGAAAGTAACTAAACTTGTATGCGTCCGTTCTGGCAGCTGGTTGGATGAATTTGGACGGATGGAACTGTCTAGTGTTTGTGTTTATTTGAGGGCTGAAGTATGTGGGTATAGTGATGGCTGCTAAGTTGTGAGTTCCTTTGTAGAAGAGGGAAAGTCTAGTAGCCTCCCTACGGGATTGTAGTGATTCCCATTGCAGGTGTTGGAGAGCTTGGGTGGCACAGCCTGGTTCCCTAGAGTGACATTTGGTAACAAATCTGGCTGCCCTCCTTTGTACCTGTTCCAGCATGTTGATATCCTTCTGGCGGTAAGGATCCCATGCTGCACTAGCATATTCTAGGTTAGGCCGTACTAGTGTCTTGTATGCCTGGGCTTTAATGTTCTCTGGGCACTGGTGGAGGTTGCGCCGGAGGAAGCCTAGTACCTTGTTAGATTTCGATACTTCTGTTTGTATGTGTGTCGTCCAGTTTAGGTTGTTTGTGATTTCGATCCCTAGATATGGAATGTGGGTCACAGATTTTAGTTCTTCTCCTAACATAATGTACTTGTGTTTGATGGGTGATTTACGTCTGTGAATACTCAGTACATAGCATTTTGAGGGATGGAATTTCATTTGCCATGTATTTGCCCAGGAGGCCAGTTTGTCAAAGTCATCCTGGAGTGTCAGTGCATCCTTTTGGTTCTCGACAGACATGAAGAGGAGGCTGTCATCTGCAAATAGTTTGAGGCTGGTTGTTGTTGATAAGTCGCTGCCCATATCATTGATATAGACAAGGAAGCAGAGCGGTCCGAGCACAGTTCCTTGAGGGACACCCGATTTCAAGCTTGGAGCAACAATGGAAAGATCCTTGGGAAGCTACACAATGGTACAATAAGGTCATTCACTATTGGAGATAACCTGTCAGCACTATAGTGACCTATATGTAGACTAAACATATGTACTTTACATGTACTTGTATATTGGTGAGCAACTATAAACAATAATCAGCCAATCTACAGCTTTTAATCCACATGTTTCATGATTTTACTCAATGTGGGTGAATGTTTTCCAAGGACAGACTGTTCACTGACTTATTTCTTTGTGGAAATCAAGCGAAATGCTCTGAATGTGACATAAGGATTACAACATTGCATAAATACTATAATACTGTATAGTACTACCATGATCTGCCTCTTGCTGATATCAGCTATTATACTCACTCACTTAGGGACTTATTTCATTGAACTACTATGAACAGCTTATGTCACTCTTTAGCCACCTTAAGCTCATTACTAGTCTACTCATCTAACCAATCAACTTGGAGATATGCTATACATTGACTTTCATTGGCTTAGCAGTATGTTTGTTTACTTGTGAGGTAGAGAGTCTGTTATGACTATGGGCAAGGGTTTTTCAACTTCATCCTAGCTATAACCTTACTGTTATATGTTATGTTCATTATTTGATCACCAGATGGAATAGCTGTTGATCTCAGTAATTTATCACTGAAAGTGAACTTTTACTTAATTTCAAACTTATTTCTCCAAAGTAGGGTATTAATTATGTAGGCATAGAAATGTCTTGAATATATTTATAAGGGTACTGGCTACTAAAGCTTAAGTGCTACATGTTTTTTTTCATTAGTTCATCACCAGATGGAGTAGCTGTTAGCTTTAGTAATTCATCATTGAAAGTGAAAGTGAATCATTGAGTTCAATACTATTTCTTCAAAGTATTATATTAATTATGTATGTGTATGTTGCAAATGTTAATATTATGGTATTGATTACTTAATATATGGCATTTGTTTTGTTTTTATCCTCTCGCATATTTTTTCCACCATTTGTTTTCTTACCTGTTTGATCTGTATAAAGGGAGCTAGATTGCCTGGGGTTTGCTCAATCATAGTCTTGATCAAGTGTATCTGACCAGTTCATATTTACTTTAAAGACTACCTGTTCATATTTTAACTTGAGAAATAATATAACCTGGTAAACATGCACTTTTACTTTATTTAGATTATGGGTATAGATATTAATTCATGGCGAGGAACAATTGGTCATTTTAACTGTGCAAGTAATGGGAAAATCAGTACATGCATTTCACCTGAAGTGCTGTTTTTAAACTTGGTCACTTCTTCATGGAAGTATATAACTGCAAAGACAATTGAGAAGTCCCAACTTGTGGTTATTGCACTTTTACTTCTTACCCTTTTATTTAAGGCAAATCGTCAAAATGTTGTGTTACTAATTATCTCAACTGTATTATTCTGCTACTGCATTGTTGTAGGTCGTATGCTTCCATTGGGACTTAAATGTCTATATCTACAGATGTGCCAAGATGAAAAAATTTCAAAAAAAATCAGTGCATCTTATTTGTAATATATCTATATTTATATCCTGGTTTAGCTGTCTATTGTGTTTTATACCCAATACTATAATTGCATTATTGATTATGTCTGGTGACATTGAGTTAAACCCAGGGCCAGTCTTGGGAACTATTCCATTGAAATTCATGTTTTCTAATATTAATAGTTTAGGTGCTCATCAGATGTCGAGGTTTGGTGCTCTCAAGAATCGAATCGAGATTGATAATTTTAAGATTATTGGTCTTTGTGAAGTTGGCAATCTCACTAAAAATGACATCAGTCATAAATATAGTATCAAAGGGTTTCATCCCCCTATCTATGTAAATGATAACCGAGGTTTGCTCATATATGTGAGTGAAGAAATCCCTAAACCAAAGCTCAGACCTGACTTAATGAATCATTATAATGATGCTTTGTGGATTGATATCAAGGTTAATCACAAGGTCATAACATATGGACTGTTCTATCGTTCGCCCTCAATGAGTCGCCAAGAAACTGAAGCTTATTTTAGTAGATTTGAAGACACCTGTTCACTTGCAAAATCGAATACTTCTAATATTATTGTTATTAATGGTGACTTCAATGCACGGAGTAAGCATTGGTGGAATGGTGACATTGACAAATATGAAGGTGACATTTTACTAAATTCATTGCGAATTCTTGGCCTGACACAACTGATAAATGAACCAACGCGAGTTACGTTAACGAGCAGATCTTGCATTGATCTCCTGATTTCTAACATTCCTAACATGATTGTATCTCAAACCGTAACGCCTCCAGTAGGCAACACAGATCATAGTACCCTAAGTTTTGAAATGTTAATGGGCACTGTGAAAAATCCAATATATTTTCGGAGAATATGGCAATATTCTAATGTTGATGTAAATGTGTTAAATGACTCTATACGCGACAGTAACCTTTGCAATATCATCGAAAATTCAAATGACATGAACCATGTTGGTGAAAATTTCTCCAATTGTTTATTTGATATATATTCCAAATGTATTCCCAACAAGCTTATTAAAGTTAAATCAAATGATAAACCATGGTTTAATGATCAAATTCGAACTCAGATTAACAAAAGAAATAAATACCATTACAAATTCAGACACTCTAACAGTCAAGAACATTATCAGAAGTATCAAGATCAGTGTGCCATAGTCAATGATGCAATCTCTAAAGCAAAAGATGAGCATGAAAAACGCATGATAGATAAAATGGAAACCCAACAGTTTGGATCTAAATCATATTGGAATGTTGCCTCAAGATTATTCACAGGGAC